ATAGAATTGCAATGGGCAGTCGCGAGGGTTAATTTGATTAAGCTAGGGAATGGAGAATGGGGTTCAACCAATGTCAACTAGTCGACGCAGGATTAACCCACGTACGTATTTACCCACGTACAGACATGCATAGGCGAGACAAACACAAATTTTGTTTAACATTGACGACGAAATTAAATCATGCACATCTCATACCCTACCTTAAAAGTGGTCACTTGATGATCAGCACAGATGATGCATTTCTCTCTCTAGTCCAATGCAATTGCTCAGCTCAGGACCGAAACTCAATAGTCTTTATAGCTGATGTGAAAGGTGCTCAAATTACCTCTGCCAATCACGTACGTGCCAGGCTCCCAAGTCAATGTTTTTTTTTCCTTTGTTTCCTTCTACCCATTCGCAAAGATGTCTGCAGAGCTTTTCAAACTTGAACAGATCTGGGTTAACTCATTATGAGTACACAAAAAAAACAATCAATGTTGCTTAGTAACACAGTGTGTAAACATGAGTCAAATTTTAATGTATATACCTGGCCTTGTGGCAAACAGCAGTTTTTTTGGTATCAACTTCAAAAGTTAAAGTAAAATACTGGGCCATCGCACAGCTGAAATCTTTCGGGAGGGAACTTCATTTAGTATCCACCCCTATGTGCCCGAGAGGAAATAACAACTTAAAAGTTTTTAAAAAAAACAGAGAAAGTTTTTTTTTAAAACAGAGATACAAAGAGAACCCCTTTAAAGCTGTCACAGGCAATGTGGACAGGGAATTTCCGAATCTGGGTTAATTCGGAATTTGCCCAGGGCAAAGTGGGTACTCCAACACTGCGCGGCAAAGTGGAAATGTTGTCGCTGCTGGAGGGAGGTATCTAAATATTCATCGGCTTTATTTCTTTATGTTGTTACCACCTAACCCACAAAATTATTTTGGGAATCAGCCGTGAATTACTATATTTTAAACTCGGGAGAAAGACCAAGTAGAGCAACGGACAACATTCTGCCTTGTACTTATTCTGAATTTACCAAAGTTCCAACACTAGTTTAGTCGGAAAGGGGGGGTATCGTGCACCCTCGGAAATCAATTTCTAATCAACGTGTCTAGGTCAGAAAAAATGCGTAGAAAACGATTTGCTATGTTAAAAAATTCAAAAAATGTCCCACGTATTGTTTTTATGCAAATTAGTGCCGCCATTACCGAAAAATCTATGTTTAATTATATCTCAGCCAATATTGCAGATAACTGAACGAACTAGGTGTCTAAACCCATGTTTTCAAGGTCAGAGATCACAATAAAACTATTTTGGAAGTCACCACATGTGTCTGTGGCATAGGAATATGCAAATTAGTGCCGCTAATACCGGAACATCATGTTTTTGGCATATCTCGGCCAATATAGAACATAACTACACCAGTAAGGTGTCTAAACCCATGTTTTGATGGTCAAGTATCATTAGAAGACCATTCACGAAGTAACTATGTGTGTCTTTGGCATGAAAATATGTAAAATATTAAGTGTCGGTTTATCAGATATTTGATTTTTAGCCGATATCTCGGCCAATATTGCACATGACTACACAAGTAAGGTGTCTAAACCCATGTTTTGAGGGTCAGGTATCATCAGAAGACCATTTACGAAGTAACTATGTGTGTCTTTGGCATAAAAATATGTAAATTCTAATTTGCCGGTTTATCAAAAAATTGATTTTTAGCCAATATTATATTCAATTTCAGCCAATAGTACAATTTATTTTAAATATGATGGCTTAAAATAAACTTTGATCATTATTGCTTATCAAAAACCCTTCTGTCAACATTAGCTGCAATATTGGCCGAGATATTGGCTAAAAATCAAATTTCCGATAAATCGACACTTTTGAATTTACATATTTACCTGCCAAGGACACGCATAGTTACTTCGTGAATGGTCTTCTAATGATACCTGACCCTCAAAACATGGGTTTAGACACCTTACTTGTGTAGTTATGTGAAATATTGGCCGAAATATTGGCTAAAAATCAAATATCTGATAAACCGACACTTTATAATTTACATATTTTCATGCCAAAGACACACATAGTTACTTCGTGAATGGTTTTCTAATGATACTTGACCCTCAAAACATGGGTTTAGACACCTTACTGGTGTAGTTATGTGCTATATTGGCCGAGATTTGCCAAAAACATGACTTTCCGGTATTTGCGGCACTAATTTGCATTTTCCTATGCCACAGACACATGTGGTGACTTCCAGAATAGTTTTGTTGTGATCTCTGACCTTGAAAACATGGGTTTAGACACCTAGTTTGTTCAGTTATCAGCAATATTGGCCGAGATATAATTAAAAATAGATTTTTCGGTAATGGCGGCACTAATTTGCATAAAAACAATACGTGGGACATTTTTTGAATTTTTTAACATATCAAATCGTTTTCTACGCATTTTTTCTGACCTAGACACGTTGATTAGAAATTGATTTCCGAGGGTGCACGATACCCCCCTTTTCCGACTGAACTACACGTGCTACTACCGAACCAGGACAACGTTGGAATTTCGATCAACCGCTGTTCAAAGTACCCATTGGTAATATTCCCACATTGCCCTACTTCTCATCATTCCAAGAAATCTAGTAAAAAGTAAAACATAGACTCAGCTCTCTGAATTTTCCTTGATTTCATATAAAGAGGATTGTTTTTCAATAGCCGTATGATTGTAATAATTGGAATAGCGAATGTATATTTTGTGGTGATACAAATGAGTTTGATAAACACGATATGCTTTCTAAGTTTCGAAAAGTTGGTTTATTAAATATAAGTACACGTGATTCAAAGATGGCGATGCACAGCCGTGCTTGTACGAAAGTCATAAAAGCCAATGTTTTGTCTATAAACGCCTGAGGTTTGTTTGTTGGGGTGTTGGGGTGTTTGTTTGTTTGTTTAAGTTTTCATAGATCTCTCACCATTCCTTTCTGAAAAAAACGGCACAAGTCTACCTGGATAGGCCTACTGGGCAGAGCACACCAATAGACGAGTACGTCCCTGCCATAAACACTGCTTACAACGCTACCATGTGCCAGCAGGACAGCAGGAACAGTTCATTCTCGACACCCTCAAGGGTAGCCCCCTTGTGGAAGTGAAGGCGTTGTTTCTGACAGGGGCTACAGTTGATGAAGTTCTTACCTACTTCATTGACGGTCAGTGAGCTTTAGAGGCGCTTTTAGAGCGGAGGCAGGATCACGAAGAGTCTGTCAATTTGTCTCTTAATTTTCAAATATTTTTTGCAACATAACTAATTTGTCAACGTAATGTCATCGTTTACAAATAAATTGTTTTGCAACACAATTATTTACAAATAATTGTTGGCAAACTCTTATTATTTATTTATAGTTTGCATGCCCCGTAACGCCAATGAATGAGCTTCATCCCGCCCGCGATTTCTTTTCCCCACACGGCGGACAGGCTTCTTCGTGGTCCATTACATGCATATCCAATGCCTTGTTCTCGATCGACAACACAAACCCAACATAGGCACCTCTAGTGCATGTATATTTTGGTCGCCCCTAGCCCTATCCTGTTCGTAAATGCATTAATGACTTGGTCATACACACGCGCGCGCACCCATAATTACTACTAACGCCCATTGGATATAAACAACCCAGTTGCGTTAACTTCCGGTTCCAGTGGTTCTAATACTACTTATCGCCCCTAGCTAGGGGTATGTTGGTGTTGACGTCAGTACCTCTAGAGGCGACTATTAGGGAAATAATGAACGACCCTATGGGCTCCGTGCGCCAGCAAAAGAGGGCACTTATTTACCACTTCTAGAGTCCCGTGGACGTATGGTACACACGGCGTGTACGTACTATACTGGTTTGCGCTCGAAGTACGCACGACTACCTGAATGTGCCAAAGCTATTAGCCACAGCGTCTTCGCGTGAGTGTCAGGCGTCGTCTTTGCGTTTGACTCGAATTTATCTTTCGATGGTCTCCCAGACTAATCCCCGCTCCAAATAACTTCGGATACATTCCAAGTCCGCAGAGGATGGACCGGAAACCAGTTAAGGTCTCCCCAACTCTCCTTTTCTGACCGTTACTAGAGGTATGCATGGAGCCCATACTAGAGGTATGCATGTTTGTGTCGTCATCAGAACCATTATCTGACTTGTGAGGGACTCTGCCAATCATTGATACATGTACGTATGCGAGCATACGCGCGCAAAATTAAAATAGTTCATGAAGGGAGCAAGCCCTTCAGCTACTCACTGACTCACTAAGTCGGCCACAGCTGAGTCCTTGCACGGATTCTCATTCGTCATGATTCCTCATGTATGCATCTAGCTCATTTGTCTCTTCCACCCCTGTTTCCCTCTTCAGTACATTGATGTATGATGCATTTGGTCTGTCTCTGTGTCTTCTTCCATGTGTCGGCTCCCAGAGTATTAGCTGGCTCGTGGGTAGCTCAGGATGACAGTGGTGATGTCCTGCTAATTCCATCTTTCTGAAGGCAATTTTGTACACAACCTTAGGGAGCTCCCCATACAGATCAGGGTTATTTAAATGATCTCTCCAGGTGATGCTGAGTTCAGCTATCAGTGTACGAGTATAGGTGCCGTTAAGTGACTTTTCCAGGACAGGACTTAAAAAGTCCATGTTTCGCACCATAGAGCAGCACTGATTCAACTGTGGCTAGAAAAAAAACTCAGCTTTACCTGTCTTGTTATGCTTGCGTTCCACACTCATTTCATTTTGTTGAGGGCTGTCTAGGCTAGGGCCTCCCTGATCTTGATATCACCCTCAGTGGAGTACAGCCAAGAGCCTGGATATTTGAAATCTGCTACTTCCTTGAAAGCCCGTCCTTCTAAGGTAATATATATAGGGGGGCATGTTCTGTGAAATTGTATGTGTGATCTCTATCTTTTTGGCGTTACAGGATAGCCCGACTTTGCGGCACTCGCTTTCCACCAGCAACTCCTGTGCCTGAACAACTCCTGTGCCTGTTCGATCAGTTTCGCTCAGCAGACATCATCTGCAAAGTCCAGGTCTGTCAGGTTCACAGCCGGGACTCGCCTTGACTTCCTTGATGCGATTGTGAAGCCAAGTTCATTCTCTAGTCCATTCGTGGATTGGCGCAGGGCGTAATCGAGTACAATAATGACGAGGAAGGGTGCAAGATTGTCACCTTGCCGAACTCCTGCCACGATCTCAAATTCCTCCATTTCTCCTTCTGGTGTCACCACTTTGGCGCGTGTGTTAGTGTACTGGACTCTATGCACAAAGCAGATTCGGGGGCATGTCATAAGCTTTGAGTATCTTCATCACTTTGCCGCGATGTATTGAATCGAATTAGGCTTTCTTAAGGTATATGAAAGTCAGTGTAGCAGAGAGATTATTCCGCTTCACCTCCTCTATGATGCGCCGGAGGTCCATAATTTGCGCCACAATAATTGATCCTCTTTGTTCTAAAGCCATTCTGATTGAACCTGAGCTTAGGGTCCATTGCACCTCCCAGACCATTTGATATCATACGATTATACAGCTACAGGTCACGTGTGAGAGTCGGGGTCATTTATAACGTAAACGAGGACAGATTTCACAGGAGTCCGAAATTCATATGGCATCGGTGTTGGAGTTAGGCTGGTTGGGGATCGCTAGGGTGGGTCCGGAATACAAGTTACAGTCTTGATTATAACACATAGGCACGGGCTACATTGAGGTACAGGATTGGGGCTACATGAAGGACTCGAGCTACATTTAGGTACAGGGTTTGGGCTCGGGCTACAGTTAGGTGCAGGGTTGAGTGGGGCTACACTATAAGGGCTCGGGCTACATTTAGGTACAGGGCTAATTGGGGCTACACTAAGGGCTCGGGCTACATGTAGGTACATGATTGGGTCTACATACTCGGACTACAGTAGGTACAGGGTTGGGGCTACATTAAGGGCTCGGGCTACAATAAGGTGCAGGGTTAAGTGGGGCTACATTATAAGGGCTTGGGCTACATTTAGGCACAGGGCTAATTGGGGCTACACTAAGGGCTCGGACTACGTGTAGGTACATGATTGGTGCTAGTAGGTACAGGGTTGGGGCTACATTAAGGGCTCTGGCTACATCTAGGTAGAGGGCTGGGGCAACATAATGGACTCGGGTTACAGCGTCATTATGAACAGTGACATTAAGCAGATGGAGGTGGGTTTTGTCTGGGACGTGCTCCGCGTCTCTGCGTCGACATCATAACCAGGCCCATCAGTGTGAGCGCCGTTTCGCATAAACAGCATCGGCGAGGAACAACGGAATACATATAAAAGTCATTCCACCATACACGTAGAAGGATATGCTGAAACTCCCCGTCCACTCATAAATCCAACCTGTATACAGAAAATGACAATGGCATTGCTTTTAGTGTTACTTCAACCCATGCTTGGGCTAACAGATTGCAAACTTATTAACTTAGGCCCTATTAATTACTCACAAGCAGATGTTCTTTATAAGTACTGAACATTGCGCATAATGCATTACTCCATAATAGTTTTGGATTCGATTGTGAGTTTAGACCAATCTAGGAGGCTTATTATGGTAAGAATGAAGCAAACCTGAGACCAGTCCACCAAGCGCCCCAGCTAGGCCAGCAAACACTCCTTGCCAGCCCATGAGATTAACCAATCGGTCGTCCGTGGACAGGAACCGCAACAAGACGTCAATAGCCTGATACAGTACGCCGATACCTATCCCAGTGAGTCCAGTCACGGCAAACTGTCCGAAGAAGGAGCTGATGGAGACGTTTGCAATCATTGATGCGCCTGTGAGGGACGACCCGAAAAACGCCCAGCATGTCATGGATGGTACAACACCAATCACCTGCAAGAGTGGTTGCAATGCTCTGCCGATGATATTGCCAATTCCCAGCGCAAAGGGAAGAAACGACGCCTGGTGGACGCTCAGGCCCGAGATTTGCCCCTGCGACACCATGAACACCACGTACCCGCCGTAGGAGAAACTGAATGTGAAATGAGCGGCGGTCTGCAAGATGAACCTCACATTGGTCAGCACTGCGAAATCCAGTGCTGCCGTAAAGCCCTGATAACACTTCTCTACCCCGCTGTTACGAAAGTCTGACTTTGCACGCGCTTCATCGTCGGAGGTTTCAGTTATGCTCTCGTATCTACCATCTCCCCGCTCTTCCTTGCTTTCTTCATCATCGTTTACCGAAATCTCTTGGTACTGTTCAGTGTCTGGTAAAGAAGAAGATGGATCCCGTCGCACCAACAGACCACACGCCACCAGATGAAACGAGAAACCTCCCAGCAAGAGCATAGTTGCTCTCCAGCCATAGGTGTCCAGAAGCAATTGGGTCATGGGCCCGTAAACCATCAGACCAATTGGAGTAGCCATCATCGATATACCAACAGCTAGTTGGTATTTCTCCTTGAAGTAAGAGGCCATTACGGAAAAGCAACTGTACCAAACCAATGCAGAACCAAAACCTGGAGAAAAAAAGTTTCAAACAAAATGAAAGTCGAATGAAAGTCGGGATGGCTCGTTGGGTTGTTTAATATAGCTAAGTGTATTCCCTCGTTTTGATGAGGCATAATTTACAAACTATATATGGGTATATGTGTACATTTGGGGAAATGTGGCCAAGTGGTTAAGGCTAAGCTCGTGACTCATGAATCCAGCTGCTGGTCATATATTGTGTCCTTGTTCAAGCCACTTGAACCCCGCTTCCCTCTCTCCACCAAGGAGTATAAATGGGTACCGGCATTATCTGGGGGGAGTAACCTGTGATGGACTAGCATCCCGTCCAGGGGGAATAGAAATATTCTCAATCGTGTCATGCAACTGTAACAGGAGATAAACGCTGGCGTGATGGGCCACATTGGCTCGTGACAGACTTTACTCAAGGTATATACATGTACTAAAAAAGGTACATCCATTAAAGTGGACTGATTTTTACGCACAAGCGTTTGAAAACAATTTTTCAACTTTTGGTGTTTTTTTTTTTGTTTAGTGAACTTCATTTATTTTCCCTCTTCCATGTGAAAAAAAGACAGTTTGAGCAGCGGTCTGAAACAAGTATGTTTAGTTTCAACTGAATTTAATCACCTGCAAATGCGACAATGAAAATGATCATAAGTGGGACGTTGGGTGACAGAGACGTTAGGATGAAGCCCATCGTAAGAAGCAGTGCACCAGATACCATCACGGGACGGCTACCCACTAGGCGACAAAGAGCTCCCACAAGAGGCCCTGAAAAAGAGTTCATATAACCGTATACATCAGCACCCAACTTAATTTCAGTTTTACACAGATGCTGTGGTTGGAGTTAATGGATGCTCCCAAACCAAACATGCACTGACTCACACAAGCAGCAGGCGCTCGACTGAGAGATGTCATGCAGGCGCTCTAGCCGATGGGACATCACCTTTTCTTGGGCATGATGCGATGCCTCTAAACCTGTTTTGCAGAGAGGGGGAAACACTGTGTGGACGTGGGCAAGTCCACACAACGTCGCTGCTACCTGGTTTATGTGGACCTCTTTTGTTCGGAAGTCCAGACAGTGAATGTAATGCTTGTACACCCATACACACGCAGTTAGAACATTTATTTCAATGTTGCCATGTTTCATAGAGTGTTACAATATTATATAGCCTAAACAAACATAATTAAAAAAAAGGAATTAGAAGTGTATAATATACATATATCTTAAATACTGGATAAGCAAATTTACAACATTTAGGTATAAGGTAAAGCGAGTTTCTTTTGTACCCTAACCTATTGACAGACACGCGTACATGACCAAAAAACAGTGACAATACATGACACACCTACATACAATCGGACACACAAGACACAACCTAGAAAACACATGGTGTGAAACAAAAAGTTCATAAATCATAACTAATTATGTGAATATGAATCGAGAAGATGAGCTTTCAGGTTTTTAACAAATATAGAGAAGGAGGGTAATGATTCTAAGGAGTCATCTAGGCTGTTCCAGTATTAAAGTGCCACGCTATTTAACGCTGGCTGTGGCTCATTTCACGTGCATGCCGGTATTCCGAATTCCGAACAGGCATAAAATAAGACAAACTATATGTAGGCCCTTTAAGGTTTGGGGGGAGTATATACAGGGTGAGTCAGAAAGAAAATGACCGAATTAAAATTTAAAAAATGTTTTTATAAATATGTGGCTCGCCGCGTTTCATACAAATGACAGGGATAAATGTTATTGACTGGTAACTCTGAACATTTCACGTAACTTGTCATCACAAGTTATGTCTATTTTAATAAAACGATCACAAAATCCAGCTGTCCAGCATAAAACTTACAAAGGAAAGCAGACAAAAATCGCCATCAATATTTGCAAAAAAAAGCCTTGACTTGTACCCCAAATTAAAAACACAAGATCTGATAATAAAAATAATGTTTCACGGTCTTGACACAAATGATTAAAATCCCATTTGTATTTGAATGCCTGTGTGTAATCTGTAACTCTCACTCACCTCAATAGCTTCCAATGGCATTCCAGAACATGCATAACGTCTGATAGCATGTATCAATTTCAGTAATTCTTTTTTGTTCAGACGAGTGGAAGAACAAATTAAAGTCACGCTCTTTTGAAACATGCTTCATGATTTGTTTTTCAAGAAAAAAATCGTTAATCCAGGTCACTTTCTTTTTGACTCACCCTGTATACAGAAGGAAATTAAAGGAAAGTTTCTGAAAGAAACAGTATCGGGCTACATCCGTGACACTATCAAAAGCTAAAAAGTCAATACTTAAGTTCAGTTCTTAGCAAATGCTTTCCAGTTAAAGCGTATGCTTCGTATTCATACAGATACGAGTAAATGCTTAAAGGACCCATGTAATGTAACTGATGTTTTAATGCAAGCCTTAAAAATGCACACTTTTATCCTATTTAACTTTATATTCAACTTTCGTTTTACCTTTTTTAAGGGTAGGCCTGTTTGGTGCCTTTTTGGTTTGATGCTAATGCCACTTTCCATATTCATGGAAAAGTGTCATGTCATGTCAGGCGGAAATGTCTGTGTTTACAGCTATTGCAGCAACAAAAGTTGCCAGAATTTGGGATATTTTGCCATCGCAAATTTTCTGTTTTGTGCGATTCGTTCTTACTTTAAAACATGATAGTAAGTCCCTGAGATAAACTTTCTCACAATTTGAAGCAAAAGGCCTTAAACCGAAGAGTGTGTCCATAAACTGACACCGCAGCATAATCTCCCTCAGTTGTCGTAAAAAGCAGGAAACGTTTTAAATGTTTAAAGAAGAGCATTTTTCAAAAAAGAAGAATTACCCAAAAAATGGATGGCAAAAAGTATCCGTGCATCTAAGAGGAATAGAAACTTGCACAAAACATGTTCCCGAATAAAATTCATGTCACGATCCCTTTAAATATTGGATGTAAAGGCATAGACTAGTTGTTAACTCTTTATACATTCGACCCCAATGACACCATCAGTATGCAGCACACAAAAACTGGAATTTGTATCCCTGTGGAGTTATTTCTTTGTTCTCGTGTACTAAAGTTTTAAAGTTTGAAAGTGTAGTTTTAAAATACTCCTTTTTAAACCAGAATTGATGTCCTGGACAGAAATTCGGACCTAATATCCCATACATAAAATACTTCAATTCAACACACCTTGGACATTCCTAGTCTTTGAGTAAAATTCATCTATCTATTTCGCGATAAGCTTGTGGGGAAGTATACAATCTTGTTTTCCCTATTATGCACATGTCTCCACAGGGTATCGTGTTCCAGATCAAAAACTCAACAAACAACGTGAAAGCTAGGGTATACACACCAAAGCAGTCCTGGCCCGCGTTGAACCAGATTGCGATCCAGCCCACCAGCCACAGCTCGCTGTCCAAGTCGTTGGTGATAGGAATGAGGAGGACGCCCAGCGCTTTTAGGTTACCCATGATGACAAACGCACTGGTGAACATAGCCGCCACCATGGCCCAGCCCCGTTTATCCTGGTCGTAGTTGACGGACTCATTTGGAGTTGACGCCATGCCTGAAACTACACTGGATCTCCGAACGCACTGTCATTAATACAGCAGAATGTTCCATTAAAATGAATACATCTTGATAACAGATGGGGATACATGACCCAATTTCTTGGTTCTGCTTACTGTAGCAGAAAAAATTGTGTGCTTACGGTAAGCGTATTTCACGGATTAGCGAAGAATTTTGGATCATGTGCTTGCGTACACCTCGTAACTAAGGATTCTGTGCTTACAGGATTTAATAGCGCACATTTTTTTCCTGCCTGCGCGGTTAGCACAAAAATGGTGATCGTAAGCACAGAATTCTGTGGTTACCAGAGCCAAGAAATTGGGCCCAGATCTTTCACCCGTACATAAATTATGTTATTTCTAACTTATAAAGTTGCTCTTCAACATCATACGGTTGCTGTATGTGTATAGCATAATTCCACAACGACGAAGTAAATTAGGTCAGAGATGGTGGCTCTTTTGAAATCCGATATGGCCGCCACATTGAATAGATGGAAAAATGTTACCGATGGATTTCTCGTAGGTAAAGCTTAAATTTATCTAAATATGAAAAATATATCCTTCTTTAATTAGCCAAAAAAGGCAATTGTAAAAAATATGACATAATGTGCTATACTAATTAATCATGAATTCAATAAAAACATGTCCCGCAGTTTTAAAAAAAACTGAATTTTGAAGTTTAATTACCTTTTCAAAACTAGGCCTATCATTCTATTAGCAATTTAACGATGTCCCATCAATCGATATCACGTTGCTAACAAGATTACTATTATATTTTAATGCGATGCCCGTATGTCGAGCCTATAGTAATGACTACCATGAAATTACAAAATTACATGAAAAATACAAAAAGCGAGTATGGCGGGTGGTCCAAACAAATACCCTTTTTCAGACGCATATTTCTTGGAATTGGAGAGACATGTTAAAATTGTTTCAAGATATTCCTAACCTACAGCATCTTCGTGGTATATGGTGAAAATGGCGCTGAAAATATAACCTAAATTAAGAAATGGCGATGGTTTAGAGAATAATGGTCAAAAGTCAGTTGTCCACACGCATGTCACTAATTATTATTCGGCTGCAGCCCATACCAAAATCAATTGTGCCCAGTGACACGATGTCGTAGATAATGACAATGCAATTGTGAGTTTTGACTACATTGTACGGTACAAAAATAGGCAGTTACAAAGAATGCATTTAATAGTGCAGTAAAAATTGGGTCACTTTAACGGGCTAATTAGGCACTAATTAGTATTTGGCTGCAGCCCATACCGAAATTAATTGTGCCCAGTAACATGATGTCGTAGATTATAAAATGAAATTGTGAAAAAAGGCAGTTACAAAGAATGCATTTTAATAGTGCAGTAAAATTTGGGTCACTTTAACGGGATAATTAGGCACTAATTATGTATTTGACTGCAGCCCATACCAAAATTGATTATGCCCAGTAAATGTAACATGATGTCGTAGATTATTAAATGAAATGTTGAAAAAAAAATTGACGTGCGGAACACTTTGTTTTAATTGATGCATTAAGTTGCCCTTCATTGGTCTGGTGTCTAATGAATTGGAATTGTACATGGGGAAAATTCTGGAAATGCATTGAGACATGTTCAAGGCCGTTTTAAACATTATTCGTTTCTCTACTGAGAGCCAGTGCAGCTGTTTGAACAGTGGAGAAGTGGGAACATGTTTTGGGTAGAAGATAATTCGAGATGCTCTATTTTGGATTTGTTGTAACTTGACTAAGTCGGATTGTTTGAGACCATTTAACAGGGAGTTAGAGTAGTCCAATCTTAACAGTACAAGTAAGTACCCGGACAGCAGCATGACAGGCTTGAGCATCAATGTATTTTCGTATTGTAGTGATGTTTCGGAGGTGAAAGTTAGCTGATTTGCAGATAGACGTGACGTGATCGCTCATCAACATGGTGTTGTCGAAAACAACATCGAGATTCCGGATAGAAGGTGATGGGTGGAGTGTGTTGTTGTTTACTTGGAGTCAGGTGGGCTAGTCGTGGGGACGCCTCTATTGTCCGAAGTCCCATTGGTCCGAAGTCCCATTAGTCCGACGTGCCATTGGTCCGAAGTCCCATTGGTCCGAAGTCCCATTGGTCCGACGTCCCATTGCTCGAACCATTGGTATAAACGTCCCACTGGTCCGACGTCCCGTTGGTCCGGCGTACCATTGGTCCGAAGTCCCATTGGTCCGAAGTCCCATTGGTCCGAAGTCCCATTGGTCCGACGGCCCATTGCTCTATACGTTCCATTGGTATAAACGTCCCATTGGTCCGACGTCCCATTGGTCCGACGTACCACTGGTCCGAAGTCCCATTGGTCCGAAGTCCCATTGGTATGAAGTCCCATTGGTCCGAAGTCCCATTGGTCCGAAGTCCCATTGGTCCGAAGTCCCATTGGTCCGACGGCCCATTGCTCTATACGTTCCATTGGTATAACCGTCCCATTGGTCCGACGTCCCGTTGGTCGGACGTCCCGTTGGTCCGAAGTCCCATTGGTCCGGAGTCCCATTGGTCCGAAGTCCCATAGGTCCGAGGTCCCATTGGTCCGACGCCCCATAAAATTAAGGTTGGGGTTAGGGTTCGGGTTAGGTTAGGGTTAGAGTTAGTCATACTGAACACGTGGAACCACACAGTATTATGTTTCGGACCAATGGGACTTCGGACCAATGGGACTTCGGACCAATGGGACTTCGGACAAATGGGACTTCAGACCAATGGGACTTCGGACTATCGAGACTAACCCTAGTCGTTTGTAGCTGTAGTTAGATGAGGCGATGAAGAATTCAGTTTTCTGCTCATTAAGAGACCTTGAACAGCCCCAGTTCTGCATCGTTGGAGGTTTGTGGGTCAAATTACACTTAGATTTGGATGTCATCAGCATACAGGTGAAAATTGACGTCATGCTGGCGAAGAACATCGCTAACTGGGGCAAAGTACATTGATAGATAGATGACAAAATGATAGATCCTTGAGGGACTCCAAAACGAAGAGCGGATGCATCAGAGGTGGCACCATCGGCTTAATAAGACCCCCTTTACTCAGGGCTGCGACCTTTGGGCCTCCCTTGTGCGAACATAAAACTGGCCAGGTCGCCGTTGGAGGCTCAACGGAGGCCGAATGGTTGCCCAGGTCGTTCAAAAGTGGTACACAGGATGTTCAGACATCGCCATGGACGCCATGGTCGCCGTAAATTTTTGAACATGTTCAAAACAGTCGCACAAAGGTCGCCAAGGAGGTTGGTTGCTAAAAGGTGGCTCAAATGTGGCAGAAGGGAGGCACAAGCATTGCCGTGGTTGCAGAATGGATGCACAATGGTCGGCCAATGGTCGCCACTTATTAGATCTCAGTTCTGTTGCAAATTACTGTCAATATGACCGTTGCTTCTGCCTCCCTTGTGCCTCCTTTGGCCGACCAATAGCGTGCATTGAACGATGACTGTGGCGACCGCTGGGCCTCCATTCGGCGTTGGTTGCCGTAGGTTGCACACGGGAAACGCAGGGGAGGCAGGCAAGTGGCCCAGTGGACGCACAGGTCGCTCGTAGCTCGACATGAAAATGCCCAAAAATTGCAGTTTTGGTGGTTCAAGGGAGGCACAAGGATCGCTGGAGCAATTACATAGAAACAGGAGTTTCTGGGTTTAGGTGACCATTAGTATGACATGCAAGTCACTACGCTTGGCCTGGCATTGTTATTACTGCTGGTCCCAATGGCCATCCTAGTGTCCCCTTTGTAGGCTATATACCTCGCTTACACTGGCTGACTCACTGATTGACTGACTGACTGACTTTCACTTGTGACGTACTGGTTACCTATCTGACTGAGTTTTTAGGACACATCTGGGGCCTGGATAGGGATAAGGACTAAAAATAGGGGCGCTGTTGCTAATGACGTTACTTCACATTGATGTACAAACTCCTTAGGTGCCATACTTTGGATCAAAGGTCTGAACCTTTTTGCTTTTGGAGACATTTCTTCAACATTTTTTTCCAGATAAAAAAGGTTTATCGTCATTTTGAACATGTTTCTTGTATTTATTTGTGATTTGAATGTTTTCCCAATAAAGATTCGAGAACTTATCTTTCAGCTCCCATAGCTAAGTACACACAGACCCCATTGTTGTTAGAAAGACAATCGCTGCCTGGCACTATAGGTCATGGCAACATCAAAGTGCTAGTAAGACCCATTTGAGTGAACTTTGTGACGCGCGTACATACGATACCGATGAGCTAAACAGCAAAACTACAGGCCTAGTGTTTGGCAGGCATTTACAGGTTATCTCCAGGTATCATGTCGAATGTGTCCTGCCCAATCCGCGAACCGAGCTTGGCCCACAACGAATGAAGCTTAAGTTCTGGTGCTGCTGACGGTACCCCCAAACGGCTGCAATCGATCAAACAAGGTAAAAAAGTCTGCTTATGAGTCCTTTGGGCCAATTTTTGTCGTGATACTGATACCGGACGGGCTTTACTGTGACCAATTATTTTTCCAATAATAGATTCCGCGGCTGAAACTCTCCTTTAGTCATCGTAAAAAAAGGTTATAATAGATAATGATACCCGTCTGTGCGGCACCTACATGTAGTCCGAGACCTTATTGTAGCTGGAGCCACTGAACCCTGTTTTAAATGTAGCCCGTTCGGTAAATGTAGCCCCAACTATGAACATCCTAAATGTGGAATAAAGCCACGACATTTTTACAATGTTTTCCGGCTTTCTAGTGCAGACGTCTTACCACTCGACCAACAAGCTTGCGGGAAAGGTTGGCTGGTTCGAATTTTAAACTAGTTACTAAACCTTAAAGTATTCATTAAAAAAAACCTATTAATGTAAACTACACCTACGGGTTTCGACATCATCTTTTTTATATCCAAAAATATCCGTTTTATTTTATCTTCTTAGGAACTGTTAAATATTTTCCTATTCTACGGGCACCCGGACTATCGCAGCCATCCCGGGTCGGCCCTGATTTTCCGAGATGGCCGTTACCGACTCACGTAGGCCCAATCCCCGGTCGGGTACATCCACCCTGCTCAAAGTCATTCTGGTCGTCGTCGTCATTGCCGGCTCGATCGATCCAGTCCCGGCCAGTTTCATCCGGTTCAAACCGGACACCGAATACATCTACACCTACCAGTCCTCAACGGACCTGAAGGAGATTCGGACAATGCAGGTGGAATCCAAGGTATATAGTTACAAAAGTTTGTCCTCACAAATCATCACAAATCCCATCACAAGTCAGTCACAAAATCACTCAGTATTATGTCAAAGTGATTAGATAGGCTATTCGAAGGCTTTAATCTTCACTTATGACGTCACTTGTGATCAGGGGCGGCGGAACGCTTTTCAAACGGGGAGGGGGTACACCAAAAAGGGGCACTTGCTCAGAAAAAGGGGCACCTTCCGTCGGTGTTAAAGTGGGGGAAAAGAATACATGGTCAATTTCATTTCGTAATAAACCTATATTACGAGGAACAAGTTTATGAATACGTTGTCCATCTTGCTCTTTGCGTTTCTTTTACCTAGTTATGTACAGAGACCTTTTTATCGTGAGAGGGGCGCTGTTGCTTTTGATGGCCAGTTCAGTGACCATTTTATTCGCGTGAAGAGCATTACTACTTTCTCTGGGGCCAGTTTTCAATCTTGAGATAGGGGGCACTATTTTCATGTCGCGTGGGGGGCATTTATATGTTTCGAGGGTCCTGGATCCGCCCCTGCATTTGATGAAAGCATGCATTACATCAAGGTGGGTATCGCTATTAATCCCACTTCTTGGCTTTGGCGCCTTCGCGCCCACTAAAAAAAAATAATGAGCACTGGACAACACGAGGCAGAAAGTAACCCCCAGAAAGTTCAGTGCGCAAGTATTCCCCAACCCGACAAAAAAAAAGGATTTCATATAACAGCAGCGGTCGCTAAATTTTTTTTAACCGATATGGCAATTAATGTTGAGGAATATCAATGTAATATGATTATGTAACCACCAGCCAATCAACAATATATTCGTACAGCAACACTGTACAACGAATTTGTATAACGAATTTGGTTCCTTTTTTGTGCTTCAGATCGGTTTCATTTTGGTGAGGTCTCACGGCGATCAACAAGAGATTTACCTCCGGGTTCACTCCGCGGCTGTCACCAGCGAGGAGCAGCTAGGTAAATGTATCATCTGCATATATATCTATACATACGTACTTTTTATAACATCACAAGGCATCCTCTCTCTGCTATTCTTATTTTGTTATTCCTTCAAAATGTCACATAGGGTTGCTTCTTTGTGCCGAAATTGAGGACATCAATTACAAAAGGGAAAATACCGAATCTGTTTATTTATTTATTTATAAATTATCAGAGTCAATACACCTGTTAATTGTACCTTTGGAAGACATTTTGTTGTCATTAAATTTACCTAAGGGAGCCTCGGGCATTAGGGAGACATTTCAATGTCTCTCTCCTATATTTAGAGGCAACATGTTGCCGTTACAAATAGGCTACATCGACTGCTCGTCCAAAACGTAAATTTACCGAAATTCGTGGGGTAGAATAAGGTGACAAAAACGACATTTTGTGCACAAGTCTCTGGGAATGTCTCCCAAATGACCCATTTCCAGTAATATAAAATTCATTAATTATTTTAAACAGTTAAAATGTTATCAAAAACATTATTTAATATGTATTAATATAGCGCACGTATCCACCATTTTTTGTGCTCAAGACACTACAACACTATTACCCTGCTCATTGGGTTCATGAAAACATTTCAAAGACAATCTCAGCTCCCAGGGCGGCGCAAAGCAGCTAATATCAACCATCTCTGCCCTCACAGCTACCCATTCGGGTCGAGAGAAGCAATAGAGACCCGATGTGGCTAGTTATGGTTACTAACTGTTCTTCCTTAAAGTTTTTTTTACCCACAGACTCCTCAACAGAAATTGGCGGAGTTAGAGATAAATTGTCCGGCCTTTGTATTTTCGGGGTCCGCTCATAAGTCTGACAAAATCGCATACCCCAACCAAATAAAGGTCCATATGTCCGATGCCTCATAAGTCCAACGCCTCATAGCCCCGACGCCTCGTATATATGTTTCGTTTTTCCGACGTGAGACTTATGAGGCGTCGGACTTAATATGAGGCGTCGGACCTATGATGAGGCGGAATAAATTGTATGCCTCATAAGTCCGACGCCTCATAACTCCGAAATTTCGGACTTATGAAGCGTCGGACCTATGAGGCTTCGGACTTACGATACGGCCCCGTATTTTCGATTTAGGCCTATAATGGCCGATTTCTTCATCTGTCATCTTTTATTATCGTGGTGATCAATCATGTCAAAATGCTTCTTTTTTACCGGCCTACATGTAGCCTGGAGCTCACGCGAGCCTGAAATAGATTTGCAACCAAAAATGGGGTTATCAATTATTCATATAATTATATAGTGACATATCCTCCTTACCTTTAAAAGTCGGCAAACAACTTGAACAGGATCAACCCGGATGCTTAGGAATATTGACTGAATCTGGGACTGCCACGGCAATATTGACCAAATTTCCAGTGCAGTAGCCGTGCAGTGTTCTAGTGCCCTCGAGGAGGACAAATACGCTTTTAGTTTGGAACGTATCCCAGTAGCGTATCAATGGGGTTGCAGAGTAGCAGAATGTAATGGGCTAGAGATTAAAAAAAGATAACTCGGGACGGTGAAAATAGACTGACGGGGCGAAATTTCGATTTTGCAACTGGCAAACAAAACCCTGGTTACGCACCTGACGTATGCCCTCACTTTTGGCTTAAATTTAGGCCTTTGTTGTTTTAAGTAGGCCTTTGTTGATTTTGAAATATAAAATAAAGATATTGTTCACATGCACAGCCACAAGCTAGTTCATGGCAACGCGTAACAGACGTGTGTAAAGGTCATTTCAACTTAAACCAATACACCTATTTTGCCCTGGTTGTAATTGTTGTTCAAATAATGGGTTTTTTTTCAGTTCCTGTGAGCGAGGAGAGAGACTTTGACGAGTGGTGAGTTGTCAAGGACCCATTTTTTGACGGGGCTTCCCTACCCAACACAGACCCGGATATTCATAGGAGTACCGATATACATGTATCTGATTAGTTGTCACTCCAGGCACGCAGTAGTTCGGGGCTGGTGAGTCCCACGACCTTGGCACCAGCAAACTCTAACAAAATATATACATTTTTCTTATGTCTCAATTTGGATGATACTAATGCTATTTAGTATGGCTGATTTTTGTTCATGGATGTAAACATGTGTGGAAGAGACATTATTAAAAACTGAATCAGGTATCCTACCAGGGGCGGATTTAATTAGCGGATTCAGGAAACGTAACGGGGGGGGGGGGTGATATCACTCTCATTATCGATTGAAATAGTCTGGAAAAAAAGAACTACTTCAGTCGAAGCTCGAGTGAAAACTCGATCTTTACGATTGAACAAACTTCACTCTAAAACTTCTAGTCCCTAGTTTCCGACTGTGGGAGTGAATTTTCACTCGAAAGGAGTGAATTTTCACTCTTTGGAATTTAGGGAGAGGCGTGCCAAGGTCACACCATGCTAAGGGGTCCGGCCCCCCAGCCCGGGCAGGGAACTTTTTGAAATCTACGGTGCTCTTTACTATATTCTAAAGCAATTTGAGAAAAAATAGGAACTTTAGCTTCCATTTATTATGTTTGGCCAATGTTTACTACTTTCACAACAGTAGTCAGAGGCTGAACGGGGGAGGGGGGATGCGCGCGACCCCCTTCCTCCCAGATGCGCTACTGCATCAGTGGTGTAGCCACGGGGGGCGTGGGGGTGGGGCGATAGCCAGTCGCCCCCCCCCCCCCCCCCCCCACTGAGATTTTGAGTTTCTAAAAAAATTATCAATGATCTACATAACGCCCCCCATGAAATGTTCCAGCCCCCCCCCCCCCAGCGGCCCCCCCCCCCCCACTAAAAAATTCCTGACTACGCCACTGTACTGCATACATTTTATTAGTCTGAGTATCACCCGTTGGTCAACGGAGCCCTCTCTGTAATTAACGTCTGTTACAATCTGACAATGCAAATTCGTTCAGGTAATTCGTCATGGGGTAGTTGCTTTGTACAATAGCTGCCACAATGCTCTCGCCATTGAAGCCATTTCATTCGACGTCAGCGAGCGTGCAGTGACAGCGTGCTTGGGATGGTTTATACTTCTAATTTCATGGATGCTTACCGATGATCTATGGCAAGTTCTTTCTTAATGAGAACTGTGGGCACACTATAGGTTAGCTCTCACTACATCACACACGACAAGGTACAAATAATAAGCGGGGGAAAAAATTACTTCAGATCTTCTAAAATGTAAGATTACTTCTCCCGAAGTGAATCATGAATATCCGAAACTGTAAGGATACCTTGTTTTCAATTATCAATTCGAAATCTGGTAGGTTTTCATTCGACGTCAGCGAGAATGGAGCGATCGGTCAGGTGTACTACCCACGTGATGAGGACAAAGAGGTGATAATGGCCAAGAAAGGTCTGGCCAGCTTGTTGGCGAGTAATCTGCAACATCCTCCCGAGGGCAAGGTATACATCAATCCCATTTTTGAAATTACGGCAATGGTTTTGTTCGTCATTATGCATTACTGATGGGGCGCTTCTTTGACTGAACGCCCATCGCGCGTGTGCTCCGTAAAGCTCTGAACACGCCACTAAGAAGACTGCGTTTTGTGTGAAATACCAAGGCGAGCTGTGAGCGTTCCCGTGATGATGGAAAGGCAGCCAAGTAATCCCAAAAAGTGGGCACCTCAGATCGGTCAGTAGTCCCTAAAGTGACGCGCTTCGATTCTCCCCCTCCCCTTTTAGTGGCATATAAGGGGGGGGGGGGGGGGGGGGCATGAGGGCACGTGCCCCTCACAAATTCCCAGGTCCGCCCTCCCCCAGGTGACTCCCCCCCCCCCCCCAAAAAAAAAATCAGAAATTTCCCGCTTGCAAATGAAGTGTCTTTTTAAAGTGTTTGTTTGAGTCATTAAAACGAAGAGGAATCTAGATAACTATTTGTGACTTCCCTGAACCGTACGGCTTTATGAAATGTGAATTTGAAGTTTCAGCACTTGCGGTGGCCTGGAAAATTGGGGAAAATGGTGTTGTTGGGTCCACCATTGGTGACCCTTCATAACATGCTGGTCCCCCTCCCCCCCCCCCCCCCCCCCCCCACACACACACACACTGAAAAATTCCTGGCTACACCACTCCCCCACCTCCCCGACTTTCCTAGTGTCACTAAAACCTCTATTGGCGAGTTTCAAAATTAGTGTTAAAACAAAACTTCTAAAACTTTAAACGCAATGGAAACCATTTTGCAAACATTCAAAAATGGAACTATCAAATTATAATAAAAATATCCTACTTGATTGTTTGTTAGTAGGCCTAAATAATAGGATAATGCATCTTGTGCAATCAGTTCGCTCGGTATGCTGTCATTTTCGAGAAAAGAATTATCATGGTTTCTTCGCAATAGTTATGGCAATTATACCATCGCACTTTCAACGGAAACATAATTATGCCGAGCAAAAAAAGATTATGCATTTTCGAGTTTTCAAAATATATATATATACATATCTACTGCTTTGAAATTTCGACAGGTTTTTTTTATAATCTGCTTATAATATATGTACTGTATTATTGAATCAGCTAATAGGGTACATTACTTTCAATAAACCTTGCTGTGGAAAGTCAACTTGTCAACATTTAATTTGAGTGTCATCGAATAATTAGTCCAAACTTTACAAAATCGGGCGGAGGTTCTAAACGTGGCGCACTTCAAACTAACATGAGAAAATTGCGTCGAAATAACATTTCTCGCGTACTTTTGTATCGGGTCGATAAAATCAAAGATTGATGAACAGGGGGATGTTATTTGTGCTACATTTCAATAGTTGAAGGAAAGCGGCTGGAGCTACGACTGCAATGAGACGGGTCACGAGGGTCACCACGAGTCGTCCTACACGGCTCAGATGGCACCGGGCAATGATGGCATTATTGTCTTCACTAAGACTAGACGCACTCACCCAATACCTTACGGCAAATCCAAACACCAAAAGGTAATTAGCATGTCAAATTTTGCAAACAGGGAAAATTTTGTTAAATCTGTGCGTACAGGACATCCCATAAGCAAGCTCATATAAAACAGATGGCATAATTGAGATGTCAGTAACAATAAATTATTTATCAAATTGCACAGAATTGTTTTGATATGTGAATCTGATGTGTAAATGATTCGACTGATCTTCCCTCTGTAACTTTAGGAGATCCACTATCACAAGGGTATGCAACTGCCTACAATGGTGAAGATAATGGAGCATTTTGACGCACCAAGGGAGTCCGCACCGGGGTAAGATTGAAATTTAAATTTCCTCGATTATTTTCTTTATTTTTTATTCTAGAAGACAAAAAAATTACACTCGATTGGCTCATTTAAATCAATGAGTCCCGTGTATTTGACCCTAGACACTATTCAGATTGTGTGAGCTATACCTGTATTCCTATAGCATAATTAGTAAAACTTTATTGGTCTGTCACGTATGCTAAATTATGCAAATGAGGTGTGATATCACGTCCAATGGAATTCGTTTATTCACTCTCCAAATATTAGAGATGACAGGTGTGTTCATCACCCGTGACTACTTCTGACCAATAAGAATAGATCTTGCGGTCTATCAGAAAACAGTCCTGTATTCCTTCGCCGGTTGAAGAAAAATAGGACGTTTTATTGTCTGAATATCAAGACTTCTTTATCTGTCTTATTAATAGACAATACTTACAAATATCATCAAAATTGAAACAGATTTGATTATTTTCGCCAAAGATATAAAAAAAAACTCAAACAGCGGATAACCATAGCGCAATGATACACGGTAATCCGGTTAATTGGACCGTATTACGCCCGCGACTGTTCTCGTCTGCTTCCCGCTTTTATTCCGATGGTGTAATTTGTTCGAATTGGACAGTCGGCCATTGTTTTTTGGCAGTAGTAGGCCTACATTTTGCACTTACGACGGTGGTTTCACAGTTTGTTACTGGCGGGAGAAGTGAGTTTTAAACAAAGCTGTTACAAGGACGTGACGTCTGAAGCACTCTACCAACCTTTCGGAATATTTCAAACCCGACAGAAATGTCAGAAAGAGACTTTTGTGTAATAACTGAGTAAGTGAATGAACCAAATAGCCCTACGTACAACCATGGTATAGGTAGAATGGTGTGTAGGCCTACACGTGTTACCTTACACTAGACCAAACCGCGACGTTGTGACGGGTCTAACCGTACACGTACATTACGAATGTTTTTTTAAACACAATGTCGCAGCGGTACGGTTTGCACTTACACGTATGATGAAGGACGTGAGGATTCTGTTGATTGGCAAATACTGAACCTTTCAGTAAATGACTTGGAACTAAAGCTGAACCATGAAGTACTTTATCTCCATAGGATAAAAATGTTCCAACCTGACGCCACTTCAGTGGTTGTGTACAAAGTCTATGGAGTGTCAAGACAATTTTTTTGAGTATTTCCTAACAAAATTTGAAATGTTTCTCAGTCCCAGATTCATGCATGTTTGTCTTTTCCTCATTTGGAAAGAATTCCATATTCGGTACAGACGTCACTAATCTTTCCCTGCAAAGACAATCAACCATCAGAAAGCAAAAACAGTCCTAAAAGTCAAATTTAATTTAGCAGGGAAAATATTGAAGCATATCAGCTAGTCAGAAAACGCTTAGAATTTTTCAGACCAGTCTCATAGGGTTTGTACACATGCAGGGTGTCAAGTGACGTCCAAATATGGAATTCTTTTCTTCCCTGTAGTTTAACACAAATGATGTGGCAATTGTGTAATTTAGGACCCCGTTCCATTTAGAGAACGAAAAGACGTGTTTGGGGGACTATAAATACCTAAACGTTTGGCGATGGAACATGCAGGAAAAGTCACTTTATGTGTTTGAAATGATAAGTTGAATAGTTCGCTAAGAATACATGTTGAATATTTGTGGAAAGAGGGCAAGGTTTTGATTTATGAACGGAACTTGTAAAACATTAGAGATGTCCTAAACTACATGACTGCAAATAGTGCAGAGCTTTCTCTATGAAATTGGTGTAAATAAAATAAGGCCTGGGCAAGGTACACTGACGAAGTGAACAACAAAAGCTTCCGAAAATCTAAAATACAAGTGGAGTATGATAGTGGAACTCCGAGCACTCCTACAAAGATGAAAATTTATATGAAATAATTTTGTGATGGTCATTGTGGGGTAAAAACTTCAACGTCAATGTAGGAGACTAAATGTCTTTTGGGACAGGCAATTTTTTTTAATAAACTTGAACGACTAATTTTATTTACAAACAAATCTGTAATGACCATTGATAAGAACTGTATTCATGCAATAAGCCCAACTTAATCTAGACTCCATCGGATGTAGGTAGGTAAATCTTTGTGTCGTTATCATTTTCGTTCTCATGCAACTACGCCATGTGAAAACAAAGGTGATCGAACTGAGGACACCTATAGGTACAAAAATCCTGATGTAGGTCATAACTAAATTTGTTTTTACCATCTCCAACTGATTTCTCATCATTTTTTCTTGTGGAATGCCAAGATAAAATTCCAAGACGAATGTTTCTTAGGGTGATTACACTACAGTTAGAAATCATTCTGTTGACAATTATAGACTCAAAGACAAAATGGCGTACTTTCAGACTCTACTTTCACAGTATGATATCACCAAGTTTCCAGATGGCCCATGTGACTAGTGGAATCACCATTTACCATCAGTCCACATTTCAATGTTTGTGCAATCAAATTATGGCACATACTCAAGTCAGTGTAAATTAAATAAATAAATGCTAGAATTCTTTGTTTTACATTCTACAGATTTGAGCATGGGGTACACAGAACTGAAGAAGAAAAAGGAGATGATATCGGTAAATACATTTGGACAATTATTATTTTACATTGGCATATAATATAATTATTGTATTTACATATTTTTTTGGTATTCTGTATTTGCATTTGTTATATACTTTGTGACATCAGGATGATTCTTGCACACTTGACATTATCAGTAATTGTCTGATCCTGATATGTGGAAATATGTGATGATTTGAATTGAATTGCAAATCTTCATCTATTTTTCCCAGGCTGTTTTGTTCTCATCCCCTTATTTGTTCTGGGAATAATTATATGAAGAAAAAGAAATGTTAGTTCAAAGTAAATATTGACAGCTACCATTTACTGAAGATTTTTTGCTTCTCACTTATTTTTCACAAATTTTAACAGTGTTCAAAATGTAATGTAAAGTTTGAAAAAGTAGGAAAACTCTTGGATTTACATTAAAAAAAAATTTAAATTACAAAATGTATTGCCCAGAATTCCTCTTTTTGGACCAAAAATGGCATCCCAAACTGGGCCTGGGGGTGTACGGGGATACATTTTCACACAAAGGTGCTTTTTTGGGGGGGGGGAACTATTGCCCTTTTTCACACGAGTGCTTCACACAAGAGCCCCTTTTTCTTGAGTGCCCTTTTTTCACGAGTGCCCTTTTTTTCACGAGTACCTTTTTTTCACAAGTGAATAGCGCCCCCATTGGATCATGGAGTCCAACCCCCACCCCAACCCTCCATGCAGTTCATCAGCGTGAATGTTGTCATGGCACACTCATGTTCGGGCATGCAGCAATGCAGGATTTGATAAATTTGATAGAATATAATAAAGGCGTGTAACTCAAGATGTGAACACATGATGTAAGTTCTTGCTTAATCTAAAGATACTTTTGTTTTCGATAATTTGGCAGTTTGTTTTGACAATTGCAAATTGTCTAATGAGCCTTTGATTAAAAAAAATGTTTACGCACTCACCTTCAATTTGTGCATCTGCTATGGAATATGTAAGTTGCAGGTGCGTGGTGGCTAGCGGACGCTAATGATGGGCCCCCTTATTAAAGATGATATCTGGATGTCGCCAAGATTGGTCTTGAAGGTTTGAACAGTTGCAGCCTCCCTTACAACAATGTTTGTTAGCAGGCAGGTGTGTGGTCCTGAAGGAATATTTGAAGCAATCTTTCTGTGCTGATGGATGGGTAAAGGAGATTGTAGAAGATTTTCGTGTTGCTATTCCTCCCTTCTCTGATTTAGCCCGGTAATGGTCTGTGTCAACTGCTGCTTGGTGGTGAATGGATCGCTCCCTTGTAATTAGAAGTGTGAGTCTATAAATGGCTCTGCGCTCCTCCAGTGATTTCTATCCCAAATTTGTGAGCATTGAAGAGACGCTTCTTTTCCATCGGAAGTTTTTACACACAAATTTTGCCGCTCTCCGCTGCATATCATGCACTGCTTCCAGCCTGTTTTTATGATCTTGGTGATATGGGTCCCAGATGCTGGCACAGTACTCCAGCTTAGGTTTAACCAGGGTTTTATAGGCAGTCTCTTTCACCTCCACGGATCAGCTGTAAAGGTTTCTACAAAGTAGCCCGAGCATCTTGTTTGCTTCTGAGGTGGTATTACTGATGTAATCAACGCACACGCGTTACCTGCGCAGATTATGGAGGGTCGAGGATACATGGATGTCAAGCGCAATCTGGACGCTTGTGCAACTTTTTGTCCTCCCTGCTGAATGGATGAATGAATGGCCTTCATTCAAAGGGAAAGCTCAGGAGGGAGTATAGTAAACTTGCGCAAGATGCCGGATTGCTCTCGACATGGATTAATCAAAAGAGTATCCTTGATCCTCCATAATTTGCGCAGGTAAAGCTTGCAACGCGCGCGCCTTGTCAAACACAAATTAAAGGTGAGTGCATAGGATCGTGTAGCTTTAGAGGGTCTGATGATACACTAAAGAAATAACGAAAGAAAAGAAAATGCTATTGGCTCGTAAAGGTAAATCATTTAGCCCCAAATTATTATCTTTTTACTTTCTCAAAGAAGTGGTCAGTTTTGCTTTGTAAAATGAGCTTTTATTTGTTCAGAGTTTCCTGAGATGCGGACTGTCTCTGAAGGGCAGCTGACCTTCGTCCGAGAAGCATACTACCAGTCACCTTCAGGGCCACCCGATGATGAGGATATTGTCACGGACTCAATACACATAATTATGGTAAGGGAGAACAGCTAAACTTGTGATCATTGTGATCATAAAGGAACAATGATGACACAAGAACATCATATCCCATAGGACATTACGGCCTGGAATGCGCCCAGTTGGGCTACAAAACACGTTACAAAATGATATCAAAAAGAAAAAGCATTTAAAAGTACAATATAAATGCCCAAACAACCTTCCTTTAAAAACTGGGAGTTTTTGTGTTATTCTTGCGAAAACCACGCAAGAGCAAATTTTTGTACCCAGAAAATTGAGCTGTTGAGTGCAGTTGTGATCCAGTTGCACAGTGGTTCGCACTCTGCAGACGCGTAAGAAATTACATTTTGTAATGTGTGTATTATGTACCACTCACAGCATGTATGCACATTGAAAAGACATGATTTGAAATACGTGTGGGTGAGTAAAAAAATGTCGTCGCATCCGATGTAAAGAACTGGGGGTTTGTCGTCTTTTTTCGGGAACTGTAAGACATTAGGTTTGTTTCCTTTCAACCAGATTTTTGAAATAGGATAAGTTAACAATCCAAAACATGAAATTTTGGGGGATTTCAGGCCTTAATGGTTGGGCGGCCATTTTGGAAGGGGAAAAACGGGGCCTCCATTTTTTTCAAAAAGACAGGACACTAAATTTTTATTTTTTTTTATTTGGCCTAAGACTAGACTGGTACACATGCAACTGTTTGAAAAGATTGACCATTCAGTAGTCTGGTTGCATGACTATGGAGAATGTGTAGAAATAGAAACCAGGTACCAGATTTTTTTTGGGCACATGTAGACTTGACTGATGCTGTACGTGCTAAATAGGTATCCATGACTGGTTGTTTTATGTGCCAGCCTATTTTCTTCTATTGTATGTTTTACTATCTTACTTTTGGAGACTCTCATGCGCAGTATTGGGTAGTCCCACATTTTTGAATGGTTTGCTACTACTTGTTGCCAGTATTAATCATAAATAACCAAACATTCTATGCCCATTCAAGTAATGTATTGTTGTTTTAAAATGCTGACTGTTTAAATTCTTTTTCTTTTCTAAGACACCAGACAGACACCTTAACTTCAACACAACGGAACTGAAGCAATTCATCGCAGGGAACTTGACCTGTATGAGGACAGCACAGTTGAAAGGTAGTACCCTTGCACATGTTATTGACAATCTGGCTCCATGGTCAAGAATCTTCTCTAAGTAGGATTGATTAGATCTGATTTGAAAATTAGTGCAAATCATCAGAATATACTGTTAACAAATTTACTTGAGAACTTGTCTGTGGCCTCTAAAAAGAGCAAATATCGACTTGATCCCAATTCCCAAAATCTTATACAGGGTCTTTGTTGTTGCTTTAGTCAGTTAAAGTCTCAGGGATTTTAACAACTTGAATTTTTTTTCATGTGAAGCTTTAGATGATTTGATTCATTGAATGCTTGTGTGTTGAACATTTCATGTGAAGCTTTAGATGATTTGATTCATTGAATGCTTGTGTGTTGAGCATAGCAATAAAGATAGTACCATGTGACAAATCTCTTTTGTGAGTTTGTGTGGTTCTGAAAAGAACCGGGGGAAACTCAAGGTTTCAAAAAGTATGCTGTCCTGATGACCAGCAGAGCATACTGTCCAAAATGTTGAGTTTCCCCCGGTTCTTTTCAGAACCTCACAAACTCACAAAAGAGATTTCTTACATGGTGCTACCAGTAATCTTTATATTAAATAAATACACTTTGGTGTAGACAAATGACTGAAGAGTTGATTTCCAAAATGTGATGTATCGAGGGGCAGATTCAGGATTTTTTGAAGGGAGGGGGTTCAGGCTCCTTAAAAACAATTATGTCAGATTGCTGCAGACAGGCAGACATATAGGTAATTATTATTACTATACTTGTTATCTTTTTTGTGTATTGGTGTCAGAGCAAGGGGGTGTTTGACCCTTAAAAACGCTTCTCTGGATCCGTGCCTGATATCCTTTTGAAAAGAGTGACAAATTTGGACTTGGTTTAATAATAAGAGACTTAAAGTAATAAAAGCAATATAATCACAGCTGTTTCTAAATTCAATTTCTTGTTTTATTGTATTCTTAACTTGTGTTTAACTATGTAACAGCCATCAAAACTTACTTTGGGCAGCCAGGAGAGGGCATATGGTGTTGTCACGTTTTGGAGATTAATTAATGAGGACAACGAGTTTTTTTCCCAACCAGGTTTAATAGTATTGTTGTTTTCATTTGATCATGACATAATGACGTTTAATTTGTTTACCCATTGTGGTTTTGAAAGTAATAAGTGGGATACATTTTCTTTCATCAACAGGTTCCAATGATCGCAGCAAGTGTTTCCGGGCTCTGGTGCAAACCTTGCTGTCAGTGCCTGACAAACAGCTGAGTGAGCTTGTTGCTCCCATGTATAAGTTACCACTGTCCAGGTATTTCATTCAGCAAGTTTTTAAAAAAAATCCCAGAACAAGTTAAAACAATAACATAATGGTTTATTCCAATAAAAAGTATACACAAGGGAGTCAATCGATTCTCAAAAGTGGGAAAGGAGGCATACCTTGATCAGAACTACTACGCCAGCTTTAAGGACTCCAAAAAAATTGGATTGTAGACACTCTGTGGTGGGATCTGAGCCAATTTCTGACCACTTTAACTAATTTTAAAAATTTTTTTTAGTAAAAGATCATCATTTAAACATCATTTTCGAGTTTGTGTCATTGAAGCAGCTATTTTGAGCTATAGAATCAAATGAAGGCCACAATTTTTATTGGGGGACGAGGGGGGGGGGAGGACAAACGATATGATATCTCCCCTCCCACTTAAAAAAAAAAACCGTCCCCCACTGATTGAGTATACAGTACATTCAAAATTGATTATCTTGTTGATAATAATATAATTTGAATTGTTTTTCATCTAGCTGTCGTAGATAATGCTCATTAACATTAGTTTGTGTTTGTCTCAGATGTAGAATATTTAGATTTTTTTATACAATCTTATCTAGTAGGTAATTGTATTTAGAAGGTACACACGCTTTTTCATATTTGCTGATTTTTTCAGAGGTGATGGAGGATCACAGTATGACTATCTCACGCTAAATTGAAAGTTGATATGTAGAACGGTCCAGATTTTATGGCCAAAAAAACCCACTTTTTATAAGTTTGTGTGGGTACTAGCTAGACTGTATCGATGACAAGTCACATTTCAACACTTTTCCCAATATCGGCATGTCACGGTGGATTAATTTTGTGGATTTTTTTCAGATGTGAGGGAGAATCATAATACGACATCTCATGCTAAATTTAAAGTTGATATGTTGAACAGCTCAGAGTTTATGGTCAAAAAGCACTTTTTTTCCAAAGCTTGTGTAGATACTGGACTGTATGGATGGCAAGTCAAATTTCAACACTTTTCTCCAATATGGGCATGTCATGGTGGATCAATTTTGCTGATTTTTTTTTTCAGAGGTGATGCCTAATTGACATCTATCATCAGTCCAGTTAAACTCCCTTCCATTGTTGTATTTTTAACAAGGTTTAAAGGGAAAATACAACATTTGCAAACATCAAAAAATAAAACTACCAAATCATTTTGAAATACCTTGCTGGACTGTTAGTGAATGACAGTGTAAAGCATCCTGTAAAATCATGGCACCTGGTATACTGTCATTTTCAAGAAAAGTGGTATTTTCGTATCAATTTCCAATGCTGATCTGCCGATCAGCGTTGGAAAAAACTGGCTTTATTTTCAAATACTGGCCCCAGTTGACCATCGCACTTGTTTGCAATCGATTACACACCTATGAACGGGTACAAGCCAGCTAGACTGGTTCCCTTACCTTACAAATCCCCAATATATGTAAACTGCTCTGTTTCTTCTTAAATGGAGTCAGGGAACCAGACTACAGGAAAATGATTGTTTTTCTTGGTTTTTATAGCATTTTCAAACCCAAAACCTCAAAAAAGTCAGTGTAACTATATTTGCTATATATTTCCAACCCCCCAATTCCATCCATTTCTGAAAATTAAAGCAAAAGCAAATGATGTATATTCCCTTTAATAGTTTCTGGATCGTATTTTGTGAATGCGGATTCATAACTTTCCTTCTTGTCAGACGTATCCGTGACAAACAGGACAGACTGCACATGATGGATGCCCTCGTCTCAATGCTGTCTGATAGCTCCCAGTCACTCCTCACGGATCTTATCCTTCTGTCTCCAAAACCGAACATGGAGCTTGTAAATAGACTTCTGATGACCTCTGCCGGCTTCTCACACACCATATCAGAGGTAAGACAAGGTCTCCTTTTTAGTTATAATTGTTTCTTTCTTTTTCAATTTCTCCCTCAGTTTTCCGAAAAATGGGGGGGAGGGGGGATTTGTAAGGTGTACAAAAGCATGCTCTACCACGGGGGTCTGGCGCAAACCACACCCTCCCCCCCCCCCCCCCCCCCCCGGAAAATATTTGAATTCTACGATTCTTTTTATTTCTCTAAGGCAATTCCAGAACATATTTAGGAACTTTAGCATCATATTATTTTGGCCTCGTGTTACTAGTACGATAACAAACTCAGCACCTGATTTGTTTTTCTTTGGGGGTGGGGTGCAACCCCTTAACCCCCCCCCCCCCCCCCCACCCCCAAATCCTCTACTGGATGGTGGTAATGGGCAGTGTAAGGTCATCATTTGTAAATCACTTACCATATTTTTCTGTCAATTTATATTTTGATTTTATTTATAGCATTATCTGGAGACTGTTGAAGATATTGTCTTCCAGCCTGGAAAATTTCCAGGTGAGTTTTTTAAACCAAGCAACACAAAATTTGAATTGAGTAACTGAAGGGGGCAGGGATCTTCCCGAAAATAATTCCTTGATAACCACACATATTTGTCTTAAATGTTATTAATTGACATTGGTTATAATTTTGAAGAGTGTTTTGGGGGTTCAATTTTTTATTTCATGAAAGAACAGAAAAAAAATAAGAGACAATGACACACAAATTACAGTTTCTTGGATTGTTATCCTTTCTTGAGAACAATGAATACCATTAATCAGTGAACTCTCTATAACTTGAAAAATGGAGCCTGGGATTTCCCGGAGCCAGCCTTTCACGATCCTCTCTCTGTTTGAGATCTGGATGGCAACTGCCCGTGTGCTATTACCGTGTACCCACTTGCACGTGCTGATCTTGCTGCTGACCCAACCCTCCACCATGCAAACAGCGCCACCAATAACAAACCGAAAACAAATAGTATTCCTTTCTATTTACAACTGCTTTTTGATCTGCTACTGTTGCTCGATTGTTTTTAGAACCTTTTCGGGACCCTGAGATACAGCGAGTTGCTGTGCTGGCGCTCGGCGCTTTAGCTGGTCACCGATGGGAGGCTGGATACAAACATCAGGCAGAATCAATTGTCATCAGGATAGAAGACAAACTCGGCGTTCATGGTAAGCCCAAAGTTCTGAGCTGAAGGGGTCATCTTTTGACATGGGATTTTATTTCAGTTTACATATAGATCTCGAATTTGTTGGTATGTGTATTTAAATTTGTAAATCAGAGCTGAAAGAATTGTAATCATCTTGCACTATAAGGATAATTTCAGTTCACATATATGAAGTAAATGTGTAGCTGGAGTTAACTCAGCCCTATATTTTATAATAGGTTGTTGTAATAGGGCTGGACGAAGTTTTCAACGAGGACCAGTATCTCTAAAAATTGAATTCCAAAATGTGCCATTTTGTCCCTGTGACACACTGAGTCCCCTTAAGACTCGCCCAAACCCAATGTCAGGCATAACCACTTCACTGGTCCTTGATTAGAAAATAATGATCCACAGTTGTGTTCGCATTAACATTCCTTTGCACACAAATTTTGCTAGTACACAACCAACTTGCCAGCGAACGTAACTTGATCGGCTCTCAGTAATGCCTCCTTTTTCACTGCAATGGTAGGCTGAATCTGCATCGTGGATCGTTATTTTCTTCATGGACCTGTGTAGTGGTTATGCCTGACAAGGTTTGGGTCAAATCCTGTTATGTTGGAACTTTTTAATTTGTCGTTCAGTATTTTTAAGAATGGCTTCAAATGATTTTTTATTTGTTGGGTAGGTAGTTTGCTATTCAAATAACTCTTGGAGGATGACTGCATGAAGGAGTGCATCATTATTATAAAATGATAGAATCAGATGTAACGGGCCTGTCACATTATATGCGATCTCATAGAAGACCTTACGGCGACCAATTTTTTTTCATAAATTTAGCAATCGCAGCGAGGACGCAAGAAAATGACAACTTTCTGTCTCAAAGAAGCTCAAGCTACGCTCATTCTGTGCTCTTCCCCCGCTTACGATGCGTTCAACTCACTTTCTATGCGCCCCTGTCAAGTCCAATTACTTGATCTAGTCGCTGCCACTGCGCTGTCACTGCGTTCACACTATGCTCTGCTTGCTGTTGATGCGTCCTAGTAGCAAGCATCGCGCTCTCTATTCGACCAAAATATGCTCATGTGACGTCACTTGTACTTTATAAATACCACGACAAAACGGTCAATACAAAGTCCAGTTAAAAAAAATTATTCTACAAGTTCATCGCAGTCGAGTTACTTTCTCATGAAGACTACGTCGACTACCTTGCACCTAAGCTGCCTCAATGCCATTTCATTCACGATTCACGCTCGCACAGCGCCCAAGTTGCGTCATTACGGCGCCCTGGCCAGAGCGCAGAGGTGTTGCGATTGTTTTGAGCATGTTCAAAGACCTTGGCACTCATCGAAGACCATTAAGACCCTCTGGCGCCCATCTGGCAACCTATGTAGTTGTCGCTGCGATCTAGTAGTTGTTTAAGCGCCCCAGCTATTTTTCAAGGACGCAGTGAGAGCGCATATAAGCTCGCAGAGGGTGTGACAGGGCCTTAACATGGACAGGAAAGATAAGTGGCCCCAAATTTATAGAATGACTCATATCTTAAACCAGATCCCTGCGGATATGAGAAGACCTTGACATCACTGACTGAGGATGAGCAAGAGGAGTTTCACCATGACACGGTGGCTTTGATTGAAGCTCTGGGCAATGCTGGGCTCCATCGCTCCTTCCCTCACATCCAGAGCTATACCAACCACAGCGCTACTCATCCAATGCTGAAAAGGGCTGGCTTACACTCCATGAGAGACTACCATCACGACAAGGTGAACAAAATGTCCAGCCTGAATCGTCAGTCATTAATATTAAGTTTGACTCAATTAACACTGTTTTGCCCGCATGGTTGGACCAATGTCTGTTTTAACCACCTCCTAAACAAAACGAATTAGGGCAGTTGCCTGTGAGGATAAAATAGTTTCTCAATATGTAATTTTCCAGTTTGATGTCTCAGTGCAATAAAAAATCATTTAAATATTTGCAAAATATGATATAAACATTGCATGCAGGGACCTTACATTTTAAGGCATATTCAGTTTTGTTGTGTTGCAAATCTGCAGTCTGTAAGTTTGTCATTGTTTAAATGTTGTTTGCACTTGAACATGTTGAATTTTTGATTTTGCCCCCAAAATTATTTCTGGTGTTTGATCCACTGCTGCTAGATTGATTGTAAAATACCTGTAGTAGATGACAGTGCCATATAGTCAAGTTTATATAACTTACATACTGATCCTTAATTCTCATTTGATTGGTGGAACTCACATCACATGGCATTCCTTATTGCTTCCATTCAAGCCAGGGCTCAAAAAGTCCCAATCGCCCATGCTGAATTGGACTATTTAACAGTTAGGATCGTCTTTGTTCCAGACACGGTATTTGTGAGCAAGTGCATGCTGGTGTGTGCCTTGAGCGTTGCGCATAGCACGTATTATTCCCAAGAACCAGTAGTTACAAAGTTAAGTCCAAACATTTCGTGAAGGGGTGGTTTTGAAGAGAGAAATACATTTCCCACCAATTTTGTATTGAAATAGGAGTTCATTTTAACTGTAAATCAAATGACAAGGATCTATGATAGTCAGTTATATAAAAACAAATATTGAGTGGCTTTAAATTGTGAAATGGGAGGAATATTTAGCTTTCGGTAAAATCTGGACTTTTCCATTTCACTCGCCGAAGTCCAGATTTTACCTTGTGATAATTTTCCTCCCTTTCCACTCTGAGCCACCCAATATTTGTATACCATTACAAGTAACAAGTCAAGTTGCAAGTCAAATTGCAAGTAAGGGGTGAACAATGACAAAAGAATGTCTTGTCATACCTCATTTGTTGTAGCTTGTTACTTGAGAGTGACCTTTCTAAGACTTGAAAACCACTGTGGTGCATGATGACATTTGATTGTAAGGTTCTATTTATTTGATCAAATCTCGTGTGCATAGGCAGCAGAGATTATGCTGAAATCTGCCCTGGATGAAAATGAGGATGAGCACGTGAGATATGAGGCGTCGCTGTCCTACAAGATTCACCCAAATGGCGGCAAGCAAAACATCACCAAGTTTCTCAGTCCCGAGGGGTGAGTTGACCTTTTGTTGGAATACACAAACTGTAGCCTGATGAATACAATTTTAATGTCAATGCAGAGGATAAAAAGGATTGTCATATTGCTTAATTGATATACTAATATTGTTTTTCCTTGAGGAAAGAACTGTGTGAAAATGTTGCCAGTTTTAAGTAGAAAGTAATGTAGTAAGGTTGCAGATAAGTAGCTTGTATTCCTCCCACTTTATATAAGCAAAGTGAGTATAACTTGATGCCCTTATTATGTCTGCCAGGCCACGCGGGATCATGTTGAATTTCCAATGCCATGATTGATCAATTCTTCCTCAGTGTATCTGGACCGAATTCTTCACAAGAAGTAGCGGCCACAGAGGTAGCCAGTGTGCCTTCCAGGCGCCGTGTGCGGCGAGGTTTCTTTGAGGGCATTCAGTTGAAGCTGGCCAGTCCATCCAAGGATTGGAAGGAGATTATCGGCAGCTCAGAGACTGGAGCCGAGTTTGGTCTGACCATCAGGAACAAGCTTGACATGAGCATTGGTAAGAATGGGCTAATTATGTCACATGGTGTGTATTTAAAGGTGACGATAAGTCTGAAGCATCATTATCATCAGCTTTGCTGTTCTGTGCTATTGCGTAGCACTGTTTCTGAGATATGTTACAACAAATTGAAGCAAGCTTGGCCCATCTCTCATTCTCTTCAGGCCGGTTCAAGCAAATTTGATATCACAAAAGAGTTGCTGTGCTCGCTGGAGTTGAAATGTGTTCACGCTTTTGTCGAAAACATAATCAGTATGAACATGTTGTGTAAAGACTTACATGTGTGCGTGCATGCACACCCTGCACACACACGCATACATGGCACATCAATTGTGTTGCATGCGCACATACGTCTTCACACGGGGAGTTTGTCGAAAGTGTGGATGTGCTGTTTATTTTAGGTAAACATGTCGCCCACGGACGTATTTACCCTTTCTAAACCCAGCGTAGGCATAATTCTGGACACAAGGAATATGGAAATTTCAGCTTCCTCCGTCAGGTAAAAATATTTTCAAAACGTGTTATTTAATTTTTTCGCTGTGGTAGTAGAATTAATAGCCTGGATGTCAGTTGAAATGCAATGAAGACGTCCAACCTGCTATATTTTTTATGTGCACCACAACAGGTAAGATAACTGCCTTGTATTTCCACCTGACAGCTCCACTGAGTGGCCATCTACGCGTGGATCTGTATGATGAGGCATATGCCACTATACTGGTTGGACTTGTGGGTATGAACCTGGATGTTGCTCGTGCCCGCTTCTGCTTCAATGGAAACATTGAGTACAACCTCAACATTTTGCAGGTAAAGTAAAATGGAAATGGATCAAAACTTTCAATATCAGATTTACACGAGAAGGGATTAATTTTATATTGCAATGCGATCTGGGTGATAGTTGGTTATTCATCAAAAGTGAACTTATAGAATGGGTAGATCTTGCTCTTTTTCCCCTCAGTATACATGTATTTAGATTAATTGTAGCCAGTGAGGCTTGATGCATGTGTGTGCGTGTGCGCGTAATGGTGGGTGCATACAAGGCTTGCCATTGCATACACAAGCATAAAGTGCACAAACCAGAAGACGAATTTTACAGCAACTCTTTCTGAAAAGATGTTTTGTTTCTTTGTATAAAATGAGAGTTATTAAATTAGAAGAGCTAAAACCGCTTCATTACTTACAAAATTTCCGAATTTCAAAACATAGCTACCAACTTTGGGAAAAAAATGATTGTACATGTAAATGTGTATAAAGTCAAAGGCAGATCCAGTGAGGTTACTGCCGGGGGGGGGGGGGGGGGGGGAGGGGGGCTGAGGCTGTGCTGGCGGTCGGAAGGGCTCTCACAAGTGAAAGATTGCCCTATATGAGAAAAATTTGATCACTGCTAGGGGGCGGGCGCCCCCCTCCACATCCACCTGGATCCACCACTGAATAATTGTTATACTTGGTGAACTCCATAATAGTTAAGTGTACACAAACATAAAAATCTATTTTTCAGGAGTTTGGGGTTGACCGTATTAGTGACCTGGCCAAGGTGTATGATATCGTCATTGATAAAGTAGTCGGCAACATTGTGAAAAGTGTGGACATGGTCGTGGATCTCTTCAATGGCGACAGCAAGGTCAGCATGCTGTTTGATAATCTTGAGCAGACCCTGGAGGGCATCCCAGGACGAATTGGGGTAAGTGCTTTTTTGAAAGGACTTATCGTAACCCTACGTTCATCATGTCTGAAAGCCAGTCGGTGGATTGTATTGATAATATTGTAACGGCGACCTAAAGAGGCTGACTGCCAGTTGGGAGATTAACTAGTTAAAGCTGGAGTCCATCATTTGCAGCTATCCAAGAAGTAACTGGCGTAATTCTTGCTGAAAAACATATACTTGGTTGAAAGATAGTAAAGGGACTAAACCCCCTGTGAAATTATTCTTTCTGGAAACCTGTCATTTTGAAGAAATCAACAAAAAAGGCCTTTCCAACGGTGCTTCTTAACCCTGCGCAGCGTTTACAAAAAGTGTTTACATGAACTCCGCAACTGGGGCCCTTTGGGCCACAGGTACTTCCCAGCACTACGCAAGACTCTATTCATGTCAAAACAACAAAAAGCCACGTGCCAGATAGTGTCCAGTCAGTTGCCAGACAGTGCACTTAAAAGATATTTGACTGGCGGCTGTGGTTTGCGGCTGAAGGGAGATGGCTGTGTCAAGTTACAGGTGTTTGTATATGTTTCAATGAGACTTGGCAGGAGGCCTGGTCGAAAGTTTGTTGACATGGCTTGGGTGAAGCCCTGGCTGCAAAGTTCATTGAACCAGCTTATTTGGCAAGGGTTGAATGAGGATTAGATGGAAGGAGACCGTCATTGGCCCTAAAAAAATTTTTTTTTGTTCAAAAAATTCGGTCACCTGATCACAAAATGGAACCAGGTCACTCTGTGGAGGGTTAAGACGCACGGTAGGAAGTTTGAATTAGTAGTTCGTTTTGTTTTGCGGCAAAGCGACGCACACGTGCGCGCGGTTGCTATAATTCGTTGGATAGTGCGCAACGTCGCGTAGCTTAGTGAGAACATGTCTCGGACGCTGAATTCAGGCCCAATTCAAAACATGATTCAGCAACTTTTGATTTGAAATCAAGATCCTAGAATGCTGTTTTTCTCGGAATATACCGCTGAAGCTGAGCTGAAACTTCATCAGGTTAGTTGTTCAGTATCCTTCATTAGATTTTGAGCACGTTTGTTGCTTCAAACGAACAAAATGCACAAATTACAAATGATGGACTACACCTTTAATCTAAAATACCTGTATGTTGATCATGGCCAACACAATCAAATAACAGACAAAGGGACAATTCATATGGAATATCAGAAAATGGAAATACTTGAAATTTAATCTCGTTTCTTTGCTCACAAAATAATTAACCAGGGGAGAGCATGCTAAATAATAAGAATAATTAAACAAAAATGGCTTGTTACTGACAGAGGGTTTGATCCCCGTCTGGGCCAACATGTGGATTGTGTTTGTAGTCTTTCAAAGTAATTCTGGGGGTTTCCCCCACACAGGTGCAATTTCCTACCTCATCCTCTACCAAGGCACGGTAGGACCCCAATGGAAATAAGTCAAAAGACTTTTGTTGGCTGTTAGGTCACTTACATGTAATAATAAAGAGAGAAATCTATATTTACCCAATTTTGGTTATGCTCCTGACCTAAGTGTCTTCTTGATGATCTTTGCAGTTGAGAGTTTTTTTCCTCCTTTCTCTCTGTGCAGGATGTAAGATCTTTGTCTGCAAATGCAGTGGCCAGACTGTCCCAGTTTGACCCAGACCAGCTTCCTCCTTCTATCAGAGGGGTCATCGATGTAGTCAACAGGGCTGCGCAACTATTCAGTGACATCAAGACGGATGTCATGGAGTTCTACCAGGTCCGGTGCTTATACTCTGTTTACCCATGTATACATTTTCATTGCACTGCATGTTTGCAACTGGAATGTAACAGGTAGTCTAGGGGCTAGACGTCGTTATGGTTTGAAAAGCGATAACCCTCTGCCGCGAGAGGGCACTATCACGACCAATCAATATTACCCAGGAACCTGTCAGAACAACGTCTGGGCCAATTCCTATTGGTTGTGTAATGCGCGTGCACCTGTTTGGCCTTATATATGCAGTGCGCATTAAACAAATATCATACGGTTCTGAAGCAAACTCTCAAATTTCTTCCAGTTATGTGAAAGATACAGCAAGACATTTGTGCAACTTCACTGGTCAGCTCTTTTGTTGTGTGTTAGTATGTGTGGGACTGCATGAACACGAACAGTAATTGCCTGCAGAAGTCGCGCATGCGCACTATAGTTTCCCCTATTTTTCAGGGGGAGATTTTAGAAAGTGGCCTAGACGTTGTTCTGATGGGTTCGTGGGTGATATTGGTTGATCGTGATAGTGCCCTCTCACGGCGGCGGGTTATAGCTTGGGTGGTACGTATATCAACCCATAACAACGTCTAGCCCCGATACATGTATAAGGTTGAGTAATGTTATACTTTAGCATACATTGTAAGAATCTAGAAATTGACACAGCACTTCATTGTAAAATGATCTGCTGTTAGATCATTTCAGACACATGTTGCATAATGGAAATCTCTTCCAATGCCATTTCAAAGTAAGATGGCCTCTTGGTATTTTAGTCAGTGTTTTAGTCATGGCCAATTCTGGATTGTTTGTGTGTGTGCAGGCTGTCAATGAAGCAATCACAGTCACCTTGCCCTGGGCAGCCGAGCAGATCTGGGATTCCATCAAGTCAATCACAGATACCATTGGAGATTTACTGAAGTCACCCTTGAAAGCCATTGGGGATATCTTCAAAGGAATCATCAAGTGAGTGATTTATCACCTGATCAGGGACAAAACAAAGGTTACAGTACTCGGAGCCCAATTTAATAGCGCTGCTTAACAGTCAGCAGAAAAGTTGTGCTTGCTATAGCTGAAAAGCATGCTGCTGCTTAAGCACTATTTCATGGCATGGATGTGCTAATGGTTGAGCGTGCATGGAGTTGTCTATTGTTACGTCACCGACTTAAGCAACTTTTTCCTCGGTGGTTGAGGGTGCTCTCGCTGTGCTGACTGCTTATGGTCTCTGTGAAATAGACTTAGGATCTGTATTAGTACAAAATTGGCTGTTAACCAGTAAGGTTGAGGTCGGGTTTATTTTGACAAGAACAGACCTAGGCACGGGTTGAAGATTCACTCAACCACAATGCGAAGCGGATCGAAGCCTTCACCTTGGGGCTGCAGAGTCATATTTATGGCCTCTTTCGGTGGCTGTGGCTCGCTGACAGATATTTTCCGGCCTCTGTCCTTGCGGGTTTTTCAGCCATCCGATCTGACTTTCGGAAAGGTCGGGTTCAGTCATGCGATCTGACTTTCGGAAAATGTTTGCATGTATACACGGCCTCCGGCTCGAACTAGTTAAGCAGCGCTATGAAATTGGGCCCAGGTGTTCACATAGTCAAATATGTAACAACATTTATGTGTAGACTATCAGTTTACGACATCATATTATGGTGTCTTTTAGAGTCTTCTAAAGAAGTCTAAAAACTCTTTTAAAAAAGGTTCTATTAAGTTGTACCTTTACAGAAAAAAGGAAAATGAAGATAAATTCTTGTGGTCATTATAATTCTCTTTTCATAATCCTTCCTTCTCAGCATCAAGACAGCTGTTGATGCCATTCTTGAAGCCAAGATGGCGGTTGACGAAGCCAATTTCTTTAAGGAAGGTGAGGTACTTTGGGAAAGTTGTGATTAAATAAGTTTGAAATGTTTGTTAGTTCATGCAGAACGGTAAGTCTATGGCATATTGCCTTGTACAGCAAGGGTTTGATATGCGAGCAGATTCAGCGATTAATTATGCAAAACAAGACTTGGTCTTGACCTCGATGATTCTGTATCAGCAGGTAACTTCTGCCAGATCCTTGGTAACCCGTTGTTGTATTACAAACACATGGCAGCCAAATTGACCAATCAACAGCTTAGCCCACATTTCTCATCGAAATGATGTCAATGTTTCTAAAGTCGACTCTGATTGGCTGGCACGTGGTATGCATAACATTTGTATGTCCATATATCAAACGTTGGTAAGAGAGGGATCCGTAAATCCGGAATAACGTTGATGAAGTGCTGAGGACCTAAGCTCAAGATGAGACCTTGTTAGCAGTTAACAACAAAAAGGGAGCAAATGGAATTGAACTGGATAAGTGCATTATAGTAATTGTTTCAATAAACTTGGCTGGAGCAGGGTTTGAACCTGCGACCACCACATTGCAGTTCCACTGCAACCTCCGGATTGTCAGTCTCGTAGGTTTTCATGAACGATATGAGATCATGCCAAAGCCAGAGATAAACAGTTCCATTTCAGATGTTGATGACCCCCCCCCCCAAAAAAAAAAACACGCTGAGGCCAGGTAAAATAGACCTTATTAGCTGATGATATTCTTCAAAGCGTTAAGAGATGTAACGGAATCATTGTGTCCACTATTCCCTGTTTCACAGGTCAGAGGCCCTACTGGTTTGATCTGCCCAAGGTCATCGGTGATATGCTCAAAGAGCTGAAAGAACACCTGGGTAACATCTCAAGGGATCTTGCCATCTGGGTGGATGAGATTGCTGACTCCTCAGATCCCATCAAGAAGCTAACTGGTGGTGCCATTGACTCGGTAAGATTTTAAGTGAGCACTGTAAGTGACTCACAAAGTGTGGAATGGACTTGGTCTATAAACTCTCAGTCCTCAGAAGGCAAATTTAAAGTCAGTTTCATGTACCATCTTTTGTCCCATTATTTAACATAGCATATTTCTCTTTCTCTTTCTCCATCACGATCAGCTTTCTGCCCTTTCTTTCCTCGTAGTGTGTATCTTGTCTCATTATTATGTAATCTCTTTGAACCCTGTTGTACGTTTGTCAGTCTGTCGTCGGTTTTAAGGCCGTTGTCTGGTCTGTTCTGGGTTGGCCTGCTTTCTCTCTATATCTATATGGCTCTCCTCCACTTGGCCCTGTCCGTCGCGTCCCTTGCATTGACTCCAAGCAGACGCATGTCATCTGTCACAGAGCTCTGCCATGTCTTGCGCGGTCGGCCTACGGGTGTGGGCCCACCCGCGATTATTTTGGTACACCTCTTGACCCAGCTGGCATCATCCTTTCTCTCCACGTGACCACACCACGTCAGCCTATATGCCTCCTCAACACAATACCGATCCCATCCTTTGTTATTGTTTGTGTTTGTTTGTAGTAGTCAATTGGTTTATTGGTCTTTCTTCAGGTTTTTCTAAATTATCAGAATTATTTTTCAGTTTTGCATTTATGTGTTAAGGCATAAGCTTCAGCTTTTTATAATGATGCCTGCATTTTTACATAACCTATTGTTCGCATAAGTTCTTGTTACTTTTCGCTTACTGTGCTGCCGCTCAATTTTACATACAAAAAGATGCACTGATTGTAACAAGTCATGAAAATTAGGTCTATAATCTGTCATATTGTTATCTTATTCAGAATGTTCATGATATTTATTTGTTTTCATCTCATCCTTCAGAACACACTGAGAAAACGGATCGCTGATGAGATCAAGTCAATCATTTCAGAGCTGATAGGTCCGATAGAACCCATTACAGATTTGCTAGCGCCGTTCTTTGAGCTGTACGATCTTGTCGTCAATACCATTGAGAGTATCAAAGAAGCCTATCTGACACTGAAGAATTCGTGAGTATACAACCAAAACGCTCCTTTGTGTTCCAAAGATTGTGTTCATCCTCATTATAAGGCCACATAAAAAAAAAACGTGTTTAGCGTCCAGGTTTGAAAAAAAGGAGCAGGAGGGGATTTTTATTTTTCATTTTTTAATTTCAAGATGGCTGCCATTTTTTTTTTTATGTTTCCGACAAGCGTTGGTTTTTCCTCTGTTCCACGACACAAAAATGAAAGCGACATTGGACAAGAGAATTAAACATATTGACAATGGTTTTAATAGTTCGTACAGTATAGTTTAAATTGTAGCACAGTTTTACAAGAATTATAAACACAACCATTTATATCTCTATTTTGAGTAAACATGGTATTAAATTTTCGACAAAGTGGCACTATATACGAAGTCGACTAAACGTTCATCTCGGTTTACTGAAATTAAGAGCTTGTTTTTGCGTATATTGACCTCGACTAAAAAGATAGAGAGGGAGATAGAGAGGGAGAGAAGGGAAAAATTATAAACCTATTTGATGATAAGACTTCCAACCAACAATAACATATCTGCAGTGACGTCTGTGACCACAAATCCAGGCAACATGCACATTCATGGCCAACATCGTCTTTCATTCATTTAACAACACCTCAGAACAACAGATTTCACCCTAAAAACAGCCCCCAAATTACTAGATATGCCATCTGAAATACAATTAGAGATCGAGAGTTAAGATCAAGGTAACTTAGTTTACTTACAATCCGGATGAAAAGTGAATTTCCCGTTCCTTTCCGATTCCCCCAGCGTTGGTGAACACGTTAAACTTCTGACTCGTTTGAATGGTTGTACCCAGTGTGCGGTGATGTGAACCAAAACCCAAATTCATCATTTACGAGATCGAGTGCGGCGAAATCGTTGTCACGTCATGCGTACTGTTGTCACGTCATGCATATCCTACCTTGGTTCCTTTCATGATTAGTATGGCCAGAATTCATAAGAGCGGAAACCAGTTCAAGCTGCCCTGGTTCCGACTCCCTTCTGTCGTTTGAAATGCACTTGTGTTGAGAAACAAGAACCAGTCTATACATTATCGATGCATCGCGTCCGGAAACAAAATCACGCAGGATCTCGAAAGAAGTTTTCTTTCTGCATCGCGATAATTTGTTTGTAATAAAGCGCGGCAAGCAGCCCATGGAGTCAAGGATGGTTTGGACTGAGGATCGCAAAGTCAAATGCATGATGTGGAAAGTGACTGACAGTGTAAAATTAAAAGTTTTGACTTGCAAGATGGATCAGTTAACATTTTTGCATGTGGTAAAAAAAAAATTAAAAAATCAGGAGGCTACCAAAAAGGAAACAGACGGGGACATTAAACGTGTACTTTTTTTACTTCTTACTTCGCCGAACAACTTGCCAAGCAATTCACTACATTTCTGGTCAGTAACAAGATATACTTGGTCAAGAGGCTTTGATAGTCAGCCATATGTTTGCTGGATGAATTTTGAGGAACTTGTGGTTCTCATCTTTGCTCTAAGGAGTGTTTTGTAGAAATGGGTTTTTGTGCAAATGCACTGTTTGCTGGTGTGATTTGGAACACAAGACTGTGTTACAAGAAAGTTTTCTGTTGTTTGAAAGGTTTTGACTGATTTGTCCCAACATGTTCGTTCAACCAATCATGTGTAGGCCAGTACATGTATATAGGCTTGTCTAATGCATAGAGTTAAACTTGCTTTGATTGGCAATTGTCTCTTCAGATATCAAGAGTCTCAAACTCTCATCATGAAACTCTTTGGACCCAAGGCCCACAAGAGCTTCCCAAGGAAATTCCGTGAACCTGCAGGCCCCGAGGGTTGTGCGTCGGGGGGCTTCTACCCAACCGACTCCAACGGACATTATGCCGACAAGGGTGTAGATCTGGAGCTTTCTCAAGGATCATGGGTATGCAAAGATGAGTTTATTTAGGGTCTGAATTAACCTTGGCCTTGATAATTTCACTGCTATATTCTGGGAGAATGCAGTGGCTATCAGTTTAAGAGTCTTCTGAGTATCCTTACTTAGGCCTATACTCTTACTGAAAACAAACCTGAACTGTTATGCCTGATGTCCATCGATCTAGTCATGTCCACTTCGTCTCAGCTGAGCTGATTCCATGAAGGCTGGAGTCTGAGCCAAGTCCGAGTCCATTTTTGTCCGAGTCTGGCTCAAGTCTGAGTCCAAATTGTCCGGTCCGAGCCAACTTACAACTGGTTTGTACTGCAGAACACGTGCGTGCAAGAGTACACTGAGAAAATATTGACTGTCGCATCGGTCTCTTGCAATTATTTTATTTTACAGCCTAGTATTAAGGTATCTAAAAGAGATTTTTCCATGCAGGCAGAGTTAAAAGCGATCAGACATCAGACGCAGGACCGTTTTAAAAATAACGTTAACTTTTTTCTCAAGTTTATACAGAGTTTTGTTTCAATCGACTTGATTTGAGTCCAACAGGTAGTCTGAGTCAGTCACTAGCCGAGTCCGAGCTAAGCCGAGTCCAAAAGGCTACGAGTCCAAGCCGAGTCATGAGTTACAAAAGTGGACTTGAGTCCGGAATCGAGTCCGAGTCTGAACTTGAGTCACTCAATCACTGCTGATGTTCTCGGTTACAAATCTCCAATGTACTGTTTGTCATCTTTGAAAATAAAGAATCAACATTTAAACTGCAGTTTCAAAATCCTCCATAAACATAACAATGATGGACTCTTGCTTGTCTTGTTTTTTTCGCAGCTGGTTGCACCATTTTCAGGCCTCCTTTACCAAAGTGCAGGCAAACCCTACCAGGTTACCCTGCTGGCCCGGGGTGGAGCCTTCCGAAACATCAAGATCTACATTGACAACATTAAGCCCAACCGGACCCTCTCTGCCACCAAGGGAGAAACTGTAAGTGTAGACTAGTCTGGTGTGAATTTGACATGTGTGTTTGTTTCAGGCTGAGTTGGTAGTGCAGTATTTGCCACATTTAGCCACATGCAGTTTGAACAGTTGTACATATGGGTAACGACACTTACTAAAGATTGGGTTAATCTTCTGACCAATAAACCAAAATCTTGTGCAGATAAACTAATTTTCATTTGGAAATTTTTGATAATATGATTTGTGAGTTGGATCACATTACATTCATTTAGCCTAAAATGGACATTACGTCCTAGAAAGCCCCCAATTGGACTACAAAACACGTTTTCAATGAAATGGTGTTTATTGGAAAGAACATTAAAAAGTAGGATATTAATGTCCACACAACCATTCTCATGATCCCAGTCTCACAACCTACTTGTAATTCCAGTCGCATATGTTCCACCAGCGCATCGCATTCTCCGTATCATTGTGTGTATTTGTGCTGCATGTATGGTTGTACAAAATTGTACTCTCTATATGTGTCACGCAGTCAGTCCACACGCATGACTTGTACCCTATAGTTTCATACATTAAATCCTCTGCCAAGGACACAGAATCTGGGGGCATGAAGGAGACTTATATTTTACGGCTGGAAATATATGTATGCATATGCCACAAAATGTCCATCGCGTCAGAAGTAAACAACCGGTTTTATTTTGTTTCTGAGGAACAATGCGACAATTAGGTTAGTTGCCTATGAGTAAACAATCTAAAACATAAAAACATTGGCAATTTCAGGAAGATGTGCCTTTGACCAAGCAGCATCTGTTTTTCATGCTTAGACGTTGTGTATTTTCAAAATCCTGACCTTCTCCCATCCAGGTCATAGCCGGCAGGAAGATTGGCAAAGTGATCCGCTCCACGTCCTCCTGTGCACCGCCAAACTTCATCCACTTCTCCATGAAGAAGGTCAAGCCCAACCGCCTGGCTTCTATCCTAGACAGCAGCCTGAATGATGATCCCACGCCGGCTGATGATGCGGCCAAGGAAGGCTACGTGGACCCGACCAACTATCTGGCCAAGAGGCCGCTGGAGATACCCCAGTGGATACAAGGCTGTGATGAATACAAGTTGGTCTGGAAGGTACATGCATAAGGCCTGTAGCATATTTTTTTTTTTTAAACTTGATACTTACACCACATTGAAAAAGTGAAAGAGTTGCACATTTATGAAAACTTGCAGAACATAAACAGTGTAACAGCTGTTTCTAAACTACATTTTTCAGTATTGTGTGCAACTATGTAAAGGATGTCAAAACTGACACTGGGCAACCTGGAGAGAGCGGGATTCAAAAAATTTGACAAAACCGGTGTTTATCGTATTTTGGAACAAACTCTTCACATTATTTTCATTAAACTGCGATATTGCTCATACAGATTATTTCAAACATTGAAAAATTGCGCAGCTTTGTCAGGTTTTGTGACATTGATTAAAATACAGAACACAGCTTCACAATGTGCAATTGGCCAATGCTGGAATGTACATAGAACTGGTTCTATCAGATTAATGAACTTTAACTAAAGTGACGTACCGGTAGTCTACTAGGAGTAAAGTTTGAAGTCTAGTCTTATGGCCAATGTATACATACTTTTTTAAAACTTTGATTTTCTTTTCCGAACAAATTTTAAGGGAATATAATGTCCTGTCAGAAATTTGCTTGTTTGCATTTGCAAGGCCTTTATAAAAAGTTTTAAAATTACTTTTTAATAGTGCATTTCCAGTTCAGAAAGTTTGGACCGTAATGCTCTAAATATTCATGTCTAGTGACGCTTTAGCTATATACATGTATGTTAATTTTGGAATCACGCGTTATGTATTTGCCTGGTCCGGCTATACGATGGTCGTGACCATTTGCGACACTGCCCCGCAAATCGTGGTAGACCTACGTACAGCCAGGCTGGTCTGGCTGCACCAGAGTTCTAAGTTCTATCACCATCTCTGCTATTGTGCGTCTTTTCCTCTCACTGGATCGCAAAATCGGTTGTTTTCCAAGTCTTATTTTACGTGTGCTTCATGATTGCATTGCGGCTGCAACGGTACGACACTGTAGCTGTTTACCATATATACAAACATACATTGCATGGATCAGCTGTTGAAATTATTATTCTTAACTGCACTGTTGCAGTAGGGTATGTGCACAATATGTCCCCGTTCTGCTGGCTTCAGAACTTAATTAGAAGCGGGACCCTGCTAATTCAAAAGTTGAAATTAATTAATTGAGCATCTATCATAGACCGATTTTTTTTTGTCATTTGATGTCTCATTGGAAAGCTCATATCTAATGTTTTGCTAGAAAATTATCAATTCAATTTGAAAAAAAAAATTATCAATTCATTTTGAAAATCTATTTTTCGGGGTGCCACACCCATAAAGCATGTATATACCAACTTTAAGCTAGTAGCAAGTACGAGTATAAACAAGCTATGATCATTCGCAATTTCGCAGTCAATAATTTATTGGCAGGGCCGGTGCTCTTTAACTTGAAGAAATGTCTTAAATTCTCTCATGAAAAATTTCTGTAAGAAGTCTTTTTTCGTTATATTAATAGTAAAATTAAAGTAAGGGAAAAAAAAAGATATTCTTGTTACTCTGTGTAGGGAGAGACAGTTAAGATGGGTTCTTTGCTAAACCGAGAAAATAAAAAAGGAAAGAAGAAGAACACCAGCCCCAAGCGCAAAACTCCTCCCAAGACCAACACTAAGCCACTTGATAACAGCAAGAAACCTCCCAAGCGGCCCTCCTCTCTAGATAATGCTGTATCACCAGGTAAGTCACAAGAAAGACCAAAGACCTCAGGCAGCTTCTGAAATCGCATTGTTACATTTGGCCTGTCAGAATCTGGATGTTGTGGCAACGACTTCAATTTGTGATGTTGATCTGCTTAAAATAGCGATAACTTTACATGATAATGAAGACGTTGCCTGCACATGTAATCTGATTTTCTGATGTTCTCTTCCTTTCTCTTATCTAAGAGGAAGTGTGTTGTTAACATTTATTTCCATAAACAGTAGAATATCAAATAAAAATGGGAACAAGAAGTCATTATAAGGATGGATATGGGCAAAGCTTATAGGAGCATACCTCAATACATGTGTTCATATTTCAATATTAAAGCAAGGAATATTTCCTTGAACATGCGTTACATTATGTGATCGTCTTTAATAAGAGCATTCTTTATAATTATTATCAAATGTTTAGAGATATTGTGTGAGATATGTATCATCACTGTTCTTTAATGGGCCAAAGTTTGGAAGCAAGTATGTGTTCATGTTGAATTTACCATGTTGAGCATGGTGTCATATTGGCTGTTGAGCGAATGTAAGCAAGTTTTTTGGCAACTGACCATTAGAAAACAACATTGTGTTATTCCCCCCCCCCCCCCCCCATTTACAGAGAATAAGGAAGAGACTAAGGAAGCACTCAACCTCCCTGAGACAAAAACTGGCTCTGGGTCGCCCTTCAAGAACTTCACTCTAAGGAACTTGAAGATTGGATCCATCCTGGCATTTGCACGTAAGCTTGGACTGGAGGAGACATCAGACGCCTTGCTGACCATTGTTAAGACCATTGTTGTAAGTCCAACAATTCATCCATTTTTGTGGAGAGTTGTGAAACCACTTCCTTATACTTAAAGTTCCCTAATATTTTTATGGTTACTGGTTAATTTGACAAACTTCATCCAACTGCACAGTGGTATACACTATCACAGATCTCTATATAAAGACTGGATAGTGGATAAAGAGCCGCACAATGAATGAATTTGACGCCATATTGGTTAGACCGTTGAGACCGGCTGGTGATCTACAAAGGACAAGTTGCCATCTTTATAGACAGCATGATTTCTTTTGTAACATTGCGGTTCACTTAACTTATATTTTGACCACCACCACCACTGACCTTGGTTGACAAATTTTCTAACGTTGTGGTTTACTTTTTTAATGCTGCAGTTCACTTTTTCGGCGTATTGGAAATAATAATCACTGCGGAAATGTGTCCTTTTTAGAACGTCATAATATGTGTACGTGACCAAAATGTGCGTCAACTGTTGATACAATGCGCGCTGTATATACGCGCAGAGCGTTCGTATTATACACGGCCATCTTCGTGAGACGGGGGAGAATTGGTCAATATACAAAGTCTACTGTGTGACTGGTGTATGGATATCTGCTATCCAGTCTTTATATAGAGATCAGTGTACACTACTATAGTTAAAAACTATTAAGTACTGGACCACTTGGGTTCAATTCCCTTGTTTCACAACTAAGCACAGAGGGAAACATTGTCAGGAAAATATTGAGAGAAATGCAATTGACCGCAAATGTGACTGTATGGTGTGTAATTTGACAACAATTCAGCCATTTAACCACACAGCTAGTGTGTTGAGTAGCTCACCCAGATAGACCTGGGTAAAGGCAGATGGGTTACCCACAAGAGCCGGGCTTATTGAACGCTCAGCGCGGGCCATCATGATCCTGAGTCTTATCATTGACTGAGTTTTAGCTCTCCTTCCTCCGTGGCCTCACTTTGAGATTCACTACCTTTAAATTTCTGTCAATGGCAAAAGGTATAAAGTCGGGCTGGAACTAGCGGCCTCGAAAGTCGCAACGAGCTCAATTAAAAATTATGTTTAGACTTTAAATAAAGTTGATTTTGGCATACATCTGATCTTTTCCACTGTTGCCGCCATATTTGTCCATTTCTTTGAATGAACAATGCATGCGTGTGGCGTATTTCCACCACTGACTCTGCTCCACGAGTAGGGTCTGTGGTGGCTGACCCGGGTGAGTCCCAAGAATGATGTCAGCTCATCGAATGGCATGGGGCTAACCAGAGTCGACCCTCATGAGCTAATGATTAAGCAGACATGTTGGTAAGGAAATGACAATTGAACCAGTGTTTGTGCTGTTTCAAATTGTGGTTGCAGATGATAGGTTGCACCTATTAAATTCATTGCATACAGATTTCATTACATCAGTGAAATTAAACTTAAGCAATGCGTTGTTCAGTTTGAGCTCCTTCACTATCGGTATCAGTTTAAGTCAACATATGAACTCATCATATGCAAAGGGTTGTGTTTCAACTCGTCATATGATGGCATCAGTCTTTGTTTATAGTAGAATTATTTGAAACAGTTTGAAACAAAGTGATTCTATGTCAGTTTGACTTTAATTTCCCTCAACACTAGAAACTGGTGAGTGATAAACCTTGCGTCCTACCTGAGTCTTTGACGACTGATTCCTTAAGGATTGAACTCCAACAGCGTGGTCTCAGCTCACAGGGAGATAGGAAGACGTTGATACAGCGATACAAACAACCCGAGGATCGTAAGTGTTTAGTCTAAGTCTGAATAGGGCAGTTCTTGTTTTTGTGATATTATATAGTTGTCTGTGATGGGTATTGTATCATAGTCACTGACGACTCGTGATAATAAGGGATTGAGATTCAGCAATGTGGTTTCAGACCTTAAATTATCCAACGATTTAACCACCTCACGCCGGAATTATTTTTGCCAAATATTTTGCAATTTTCGCAAAAGGCAAAATTTTTAGCCAACTGCTGATATACAGCCAAATGCCACAAATGCTGATTCGCAAGAGTTATTTCAATAGTATTTGTACAATATTTCTTGCCGAGACCTTATGTGTTTCAGTACTCGGGGGTGTGCACTGGAGTGTAAATTGTACAACAATAGGCTGTGCACAACGGTCAATTCAAGATTAACACACGGTCCGCCTCCACAGACTACACAGACTTTGTGTGTGTGTACAAAAGGCACGAGGGATTAGCATGTTTGGACGTCACCCGTAGGCGAGTCAAGGCAATCTTGATGTCACAACCCATCAGCCGTGCCTGTGTATAAAAACAGCCAGTGTGTGTTATCAGGTCCTCCGATGAGAACTGGTTAAACCACTTGAGGATCAAAAGCATGGGCAGCAATCGGGGGGGGGGGGGGGGGGGGGATTTTAGGGGGGGGGGGTTGACATCATCATGGCGTTGTGCCCCCAATAATTATCCCAGTACATATAGATATTTGCTATGTTTACTATTCCTGGCTGAATTGTTTTTTCTTCTGTTCAGCAATTGAGCTATCGCCGTTTGTGAGTTAGCCGAGTACGTCCTTTAGACACCATACGGAATTTTTGTTAAGTTTTGTTTATCTCAGATTTTGTGTGTAACACGTCCATTTGTATATCATGTAATTGGACAATATTTCACAAGCTGCGTTGACGCATTTCTACCGCAACAGGTTAATTGGTTCCATGAAATTTGGCCCAGGATTGAAAATGTTGCTGAAATACATTCCTTCAATATGACTTAATTTTGTTTCCACTCCTGTAAAACGTTCATGTACTCGGGGTCAATAGACCTAAGACATAATGACATCGTGCTTTGTGTACATATGTGCCCTTTAAATTTCCAATAGGAGCCATGTGGGGACGAGAGCCACCAAGCTCCCATAGGAAAGCGCACATGTAAACAAAGTTGACACTGTTGAGCAAAGAAATGAGCAGCAGGTATATCATTCAGAAAATATATACAACTTTTGATATATTGTAGGTTGTCCCTTACTTCAAATCTCCCTGCCCAAGAATGTGTACTGTAAGATAGACGAGACCTGCCTGGGCGTGGAGTGCTGTATGAACGTCAAACTCTTCATGGTATCTTTGGCCTTCAAGGCGTTCATGCGCTTTGACCCTTGCGAGTTCCAGTTTGTACTCGGCGTCAACACGTGGAACTACACCATTGAGATCCTGGATGCTGAATTTGGTAAGTCAGTCATCTCAGTTTAGTTTATGATAGGGCCTGACCAAAGGGGAAAAGGCTGATGAATATAATAAAACATTTTGGTTTAAAAAAAAAATTGAATAATATAATATCACCACATGTTCATTTGCTTTTGTAATGACTAATGGGTATACTTATATGTTTGGGTAGTTCTATGTTGACATCGATAATAATGTTCCTTCCCAGGTAAAGAATGGGAAGTGCCCGTGCCCTTTGACATCCCATTTGTTGACGACGTGGAAATGCATCTGAGGTAGATATTGCACAAGTTTGAATGCCTCTTTAATTGGTGTTGGATCATTTGGCCCCCAGATGATTGTATACTCATAATTTATAACTTTCACCTCACAACTACTGTTCAGTGTCATATCAAGGTAATTTGCAACAGAGGGGTTTATAAATAGCAGTTGGCCATACAGAAGATCTGTATTTCCAAGACTAAAGTCTGATAAGCATTTATAAATCTAGATTCTGACCTTCCAGTTATGTATAACTGAATCAGTACCCGGTAATTGTATGTAAACAAACACCCCTTTTAATACTTTATAATGGACAATTGGAACAGGGTTTGGAGCACGTGGAACTGTACGCTATACCACACAAGAGATTGCAGAGAGTGCAAACCCAAAAAAGGTCCCCATAAAAAAGGCAATCACCCCCAGTTTAACAAGCTGGGCAACTAATATATTTTGAGCTGCATAACCATCTGTTTCTAATGATTGCATTTTTCTCCAAAGGTATGGCATTGAGAAGAGCAAAACTCAACTACTTGTCAGTATGGCTGTCGGTTTCTGCCCCAAAACGGGAGATGCTGAGTGCTTGGCATTCATCGATGTACTGAAGGACACTGCCGTACCCTTACCCATTTGTCATCCCAATGGGACCTTTACATGGCCAAACAGTAAGCCTAGCTGTGCAATCTGAACCAGTGTTGAAGTCACAAGTCATCTTACAGGTCATCTCACAGGTCATAGTAAATCACACGTCAACTTACAAGTCCGTTCATAAGTAATGGAATAGAACAATAAGAAACCAATAAGGCATATATCGTCACCGTTTTCACGAACAGCCACATACTATATATATTATGTTGATTTTGAAGAAAATTGTTTTCATGATAATCGCAAAAGAGGTTTCTCATATTTTAAAACTGCAACAACTTTGTGCAGTAAAAAAAACTTCACATGATTCTATGAGAGCTGAATTGTTACGTGTTTTTACATAATGAGAATAAATAAATAAATAATAAATAAATAAATAAATAAAAGATAAATACGTGAACCCAGTAATTAGAATTAATACTACTGTATTAATTAGAATTAGTGAAAATTAATTAGTCAAGATATGTGGCTCTTTGTGAAAACGAAAATTCAAGTTTCCTACATATTGGCCCTTTCTGTTCAACGCAGCTGAGAATGTAACAAAGATATGTAGCTCTTCGTGAAACGAAAATTCAAGTTTCCTACATATTGGCCCTTGCTGTTCAAAAGGTTTTGTACGTGTTCAAGGGGCCAAAATGTATATGGCTCTTTGTGCAAACGCAAAATCCAGTTTTTGAGATATCTGTCCCGTGCATCATTAATGTTATTTGGAAATTCATGATGTAATGCTTACAGAAACATATCAAAATTGAAAAAATGGTAATTTTTTACATATGTGGCTGTTGGTAAAAACGGTGACGATATGCCTTTGTCATAGTTCATTTGAGTAGTTTGTGGCTTGACTTGGGACTCGATGATTTGTGATGGACTTGACACAACACTGATCCAAACTACACTGGGGAAACACTGACTGGTGCAATGAATGGGGCATGGTTGTTTTTAAATGTCATGCTATAGACAAAGGTCATAAAAAACGCTTTCGTTCATCACAATGGTCAAGACTTACTTTAAACATTATCCAAAAAAAAGGAAACACAGATGTAAACGTAAATTATAAAAATATTTTCAAATAAGTTAGAGATCGTGTGAAACAGCAATGTGTCCTCTTTCCAATGATACCTTGATTGTGTGGCCACGGATGACTGAGCATTTGTTGTTATTCTGTCAAGGGTCAAAACCTGCACTCGGCCAAGTTTGTGCAAAAGGGTAACTGGTATTCTGGGCACGTACGTGGAACGGCTTAATTTAAAGAAAGGAGACATTCTTTTCTTCAAAACAATGTTTCAATTTTTACACAGTGATTTAACAACTCTCATTGTTGTAGTTAACCCCTCATGGCCCAATGCCTTCAACGTGGCCACCACCTCTTTCCATGCAAAGCTCTGCAGGAAGTCTAGTCCATTTCAACCTTTGCATAATAAACCAGCCAGCAATTAGCCAGGTAAAACTTGGCCAAGTACAGGTTTTGACCCTTGACAGAATAACAATGAATGCTCAGTCATCCGTGGCCACATACACACAATCGGGTATCATTAGAAAGAGGAAGCATTGGCGTTTCACATGATCTTTACCTATTTGAAAATGTTTATTGGATTTTTTTATAATTTAAATTTATATCTGGGTTTCCTTTTTTTGGATACATCCCATACATGCATGTATCATAGATTGAAAGAAATCGATATTAAACTCACTGCCAACTTAACATTTTGACTGTTTTTTTCTAAACATGCCAAAATGACAGCAGTTTTGAATCAATTTTACTGAAATCTTTAATACTCTGTCATGTATGAGACACTCTAGGTATGCCAACATTTTCAGTCAGAACAGTGAAGTGTTCCATGTTGGTTTTAATTGTGCCGTATTTGTATAATTATTTAAAAAGTTATCAGAAACAAGTTTTGTTTCAGTGATATAAATGCTATTTCAGTCACATTTACATGGACACATCGTCATCTCTTTGACGAAGTGACGATTCCATCCAAAACCGAGATTTTAAGCAATCTGAGATATTTGGATACTCTAACATTTTATGATGTCCTCTACATAATTACCAGTTTTCGAGACACAAAATGTCATTGTTCGTTAATTACACTAATTACACAAAGTAATAAAAGTGTTTCGTTTTGACAAAGTGACAAATACTTTATTCGTCACTTAGTCTCATTGATTTTACACATGTGCACCTGTTCAGGTTTGATGTAGCCTCCATTATTTGAGTTTTGATAAAATGACAAATGCGTTCTAAAATAAATAAAATTTAGACACACGAGCGCACTGTGTACAAACGTATGCTAGATTTTTGTGACGAAGTAGAATTTCTGTTTTGATGAAGTGACGAATATCTTTAGTAATGAATGTCTCCCAATTAAACATGATTTTATGAAAACTCATTTTTATATTGGTTAACTACTTGGCTATTGCATCAGTTATATATTTTTTAATTTTGGGTGAAGAAATGTACACGAAAATGTGACTTGAAAAATCGACCAACTTCAAATGGGATTTTCTCAGAACTCGGTTTTGTAACTGTGTGCACAGATTTGCCAAAACGGTGATGAGTCATGACAGTTCCATGAGACCACTAAAATCACAGTATGAAGTGACAAACTTTGTCCCACAACCCTTACCCTCTTGGTCTTGTGTTTCAGTTGACCTGGATGAGTATTTCTCCCGTGCTGCCCTGAAGAAGATAATGCAATCCACTGCAGAGGAGCTACTGAAGGCAGGCACAGAAGCTGCATTGAACTTTGTCCTGGATGAGCTTGGCATACCAAAAGTACGTTGACACTATACATTTATTACCCCAGTCACAAGCAGTGATGCAAGATTATGCAAACTATAGTCAGTCGTTGTGATGCAGCAGCAGTCAATTTCACAAAAAAGGGTGTAATTGCTGCCATGTGTCGGATTTAATCAACACAGTTGTTGCACAATAAACGTGGGATCGCTTTGAAAAAAACTTGGCCTGGCTGCACAGTGTTTTAAATAATTTAAATACTCACTGATAATATGAAATCAGTAGATTTATACAAACACAAACCCTAATAATAGTATTATGATATTATCATATTATTAATAATAAAGTTACGAATACTGTATTAGGGCGAAATATTTTGCTAATCGCGCTTGCATTAGGGCGACAGGCCTTATTAGGGTGAAAATTGGTGTCGCCCTATTGTTTTAATGACCCTTAGGACAAGGAATTTTATTGTCGCAAACCATCTATATCGATTGCTCATCGTCCAAAACATATCTATACCAAATTTCATGGAGAACAGATAAGGTAAACTAGTGTTAAGATGACATTTTAGGTCTGTGCACAAGTCTATGGAAAAGTCGCCTATGATATTATCATTATGATAAGCTCAACGTCAGCATTGCATATCACTTTTAGGAACTATTAAACGGTAAGGAGCCCTGTCCAACCCCAGCCAGTTTGAGTAAAACCCAGCTGATTGCAACATTGGAGGAGAGACACCTTGACGCCACAGGAACTAGGATGGAGATGGAAGCCAGACTATCTCACGATGATAGAAGTAAGTGGAAAAGTCTCAATTAAAAGGTTTATAGCAAATTAATTGATATGTCCCCCATCCCCATGCACCACGTGGTTTTGCCAGCACTTGCCAGCACTTGCCAGCATAAAATATCACACCAGAGTTTAGGTCCCCTTAGTGTTGAATTGGAGAAAGGGAATCCTCTGCAAAACCTGAAAATGTACCGCATTACTGGGAACATTTTGCACAGAATTTCAGCATCTGATGGCCATTCATTGTTTTAAGGTACATTGCAGCAATTTTCTTTGACATTTTCTAACACTTTGTTTGAAGTTACTGAAGGCACACCTTCAAGAGATCATTGACTCGTTCATTATTGAGTTTGACACTTTTATATAATGTACAGTAAAGTGCAAACATAAAGCGATCTTTTGGCCAAAGTTGTCTATGCTATCTTCTTTAAAAAAATTTTTTTTCAAATTAAGGATATCGGGCTTTGCGTTTGCTTTTAACGTGTTTGCTGTTGTTTACAATTTATTAATATATCTCTCCCTTTTTCAATACATTTAACACTGATAAGCCTTGTAAAAGGCAGCTTCTGCAAAATCATAAAAAAGGCTTGTTTTAGTGAAAAAACCTTCGGTTAGGGCGGTATAAGGAGACACAGGCAGGGCACTTTAGGACAATGGTTCAAACGCATACAATGAATTGTTAATGCCACTGCTTTTGCAAATTGCATGGCCAGTTATCACGTTGTGGCTTTATGATGGACTGATGTCATTGGGACTGAAGATAAATAAATCTTCTTTATTTCGTTGCTGCAGCTTGTCAGTTCTTCACACTGCCGGCGTTCCCCCCGGAGCTGGCCAAAGTGGCCTACTGCTCCCTGAGTGAGAACTGCCTCCGTCTGGACTGCTGTCTGGAACTCAACATCGAGGACCTGAAATTCCGCCGCTCGTTCAATGCCTTTGTGGAAGTAGATGCCTGTGATTTCACTCTCTACGTTGCCTTTCAGCACTTGCAGTACAAGAAGTTGCTGCTGAGCTACGAATGGGGTGAGTCAAGTTGTTTTTAAGGTAGATTATAGAAAGTCTGTGATTATTCCATTACAATTTTCAAAAACTAACGTGTGTGGCCCATTTGGGGTTTGACATGTCACCTGCAAGTTCTTTTTTCTCAAAGTGTTATGTGTACATACTGAACATGTATGCGTGTGGCAGCATACATTGAGAAATTAAGAAGAAACACACTTAGTATCAATTCAATTCAATAGACATTTATTTTGAACTCTCCAATAAACCAATACAAAGGGAACTCATTATAGGCCTGAGTACAATACAGTGACATTTAAATAAAGAAAAAAAATGAAGGTAAGTATCACAAGTAACAAAATAATACTTTGATCCTAATTAATTAATTAAATTGACGTTAATAGATAGGATAATTTTTTTTTAAAAGTACTATAGGAGGGTACAAGGCTGTTCACATATTACAGCCAAGGCTTGCAGGTGGAACAGCCTGGCAAGAACACAATTTGCAAGAACACAATGTGGATACTTTTTCTCCAAAGTTGAACAATCTCTTCCCAATCCTGACAGAAAAACACAAATCTGACTGCTTTATGGTTTGCACTCTTCTTAATACATAAGCAAATGATGTGTTACAAGTATTGGGTGTGTAGACTAATTATTGTTTCTACATACGCAGGCAAGAAAGAGCAGCAGATCATTGCTGGTCCCATCACCCTGAGCTACTCCATCAACAAACTGGACGCTGAGAAGGTGTTTGAGATAGACTTTGGGGCATCTATCTGTCAGAGTGCCGATAATTGCATCTTTGATGTGGACATCATCCAGGACTACAGGGTTCCAATTCCATTCTGCAATGCCAACTTCTCATTCTCCTTACCTGGTACGATTTTGTAACACATTTAATCTGTTGGCCAACTTTTTGTTTATTGGGGTATTCGAAGTGATTCAAAAAATGCCTGAGACAGTTTCATTGCGAGTATAACCTCCACTAGAAACTTCTGAGAGAAAACAGTCAATCTAACTGTAAACTGGCCAGCCCTCTAATCTATCTTAATCCTTTGTCCAAAAGGTGGCTTTATAATCCCTAACACTACCCCGCGTTCCCACTTGAATTGCAAAAAGGTGGATCAAGATCCGGCATTTTGGTGTGATCGTTATCTTACCGCAACGAAACCGCAAGTCGCGTTCCCACTTTATATGCTTGATCCACCTTTTCGTACGGAAATGTTGGGTCCGAAAGGTCACTGAGTTCGGAATTACGCGCGCTCTGTGTGAGTGCCATTGTTGCATGGTTGCATGCTAGGCCAGGATGGGTCAGTTTTCAAACAGCACTATCAGAATTCACAGACAAAAATTACGCGAATTCACCAACATTAATCACGGATCCGTAGAGGATCCGTGCGTGCATAAATTAACAGGTGAAATCCAACAGAGCCGCTCATTGTGTGACATCACGGCAGAAACCAATGCATCGATAAGGGATTCCCTGGTTCTGAAGCTTCTCATTGGTTAGAAACGGTCACATGATGTACTACGACATCATTTTCCAATTTTCTATAATCAATACTTCAGATTTGTCACCTCCGTACGTACTCCGCGTTATCGGCACTATTCTCATCGCATACTCGTAAGCTTTTCCATGATTCTGTGCCAAAGTGAAGTCTTTTGGTGAGTGCGGACTCAGAGTCATTTATGGATGGAAACATAAGTAAAATTTCAGGAATGAAAAAGGTTTAGTAATGGACGAACACGCAACAAAAATAAGGCCTTTAGTGTAGTTTTAGGATACCACGTGCGCTTTTGCATGCGCGGTGCTAGCCCGTAGTTCAGCGGTTGTTTATTGTGCATGTTGTATACGCTGGAAATGTTCACATGAGCTACACGCCTGAAAACGTGTGTTTCTTCGTTCATGAGACCGCAACATTTTCGCGCCACTCGTGCACCGGGCGGATGTTAACAGGTCAAATTGCCGGATCAGATCCACCTTTTGCGTTCCCATCTGATCGTGATCCGGCAATTGCCGGATCTGATCCACCAATTGGGGGATCTGTATCCTGGTCCAGAGGTGGATCAGAAAAGGTGGATCTGATCCTGATCCACCTTATAACGGTTAGCGTTCCCACTACACACAATTGCCGGATCTGATCCACCAATTGGGGGATCTGATCCGGCAATTTGGCAAAAGGTGGATCAGATCCACCAATTGGTGGATCAAGTGGGAACGGGGTCTTAGTGTAATAAATCCACACATGTTGTCACACAGCTGATAAGTGCAGGGGATTAGCAGCAGTATCTGATAACAGGGGCCAGTTTGTTGACAAAGGGATTAAAAAGATAAGAGTGAACCACTAGAAGTACTGTATTCTTTCCGAGTTTAACAGGCCCTAACTAGGAAAGCTGCTAGAAGCACTTACACCTGATGTTACGTATTCCTATTGGTCGAGAGTCCATCATGTGGGCGGTCTTAAATCACTGTTAAAACACTGGTTAATGTTTAACCGCCAATGTTGAAAACCACTGATATGATCACCATATGATTATATGGCAATACTGAGCAGACATACCGTGTGCCCAATGCATAACATTGAAATGGCCTGAACATGAAGCAGAATTTGTTGGAAGTTGGTCAACTTTTTTACTTTTTATGGATTCCGGCAAAAAAAGCTTTTTATTAGTGGGGATAGTACTGTTATGGAGCACTTATAAACATGTGGTTTAAAAGCGGTTAGGGACCAGGTCGCCAATAATAGCCCTCACCTTCAGGTTTTAAACCAAACATTTATAACAGTTCCATCACGTTATTATCCCCTTATTACATGCTACAAATTAGCAATTAAATTTGAAGGTCTGTTTTGTTGGGAGTGGGGGGGCCTCAACTAAAACGCACCTCAACTAAAATGCACCTCAGACCATCTTTTACCCAAGAAAAATAGCTTTACCTCTATATTTAAAGACAGTCACTATATGTCAGTGTTGTATGTTTGGCAAAGTTATCTGTTAGTGTCATCAGGTCTATAGCTCCTCCGTCCATACATACATTTTTGTAACATTTTTTTGTTAATTAGGTGGAGACACTCTGAGAGATTTTGTGACTCAAGTCGGCAAGGGTGCTGGACAGCAAGCAATCAACATCTTACTGGAGTACATCGGGCTCAGGGATAAGATTAATGATGGAGCATGCGACAGGACAGCGCTGATAGCACCAGATGAAGAAGGTAATTAAGATCTGAATTGAGTGTAGTACCACAATGTGTTTAGCATGGAAAGTTCATGCAACTGACAGTTACTAACGAACACAAAATGAAGGAGGCTTACCCTACTCATTTGAATACACGAAGTAAACAAAGTCAGGAATTGTTACTAGATTGTTTCCCTGGCAATGCTGCTTTGGCCGAGGACAATAATTGGATCAATCAGTGGCTGACAACCTGTATAAATCTCTGATGCTGTACAAGGCTGAAATGATTCTGTCAGATGAAATTCACCCTTTGTATGAAAAATGTACCAAAAGTGCAAGGAGTTAATGTCTTTTACAGTGGAGGATTAGAACTAAGCGGTATACTAACACATTTGTCCCTTCAGCTGTTCAGATTTTTTATGAGCAGTTGGAACGTTGATTATTATTTAATATTTCAGAGACCAACACATACAGGATTTAATGGTACCCACATGCAGTTTTATTCTTTATCTTATTCACTTACTTTCTGTTTAGTGAAGTATTGTGTATTTGTGTGCAATTTATTCGTCATTTTTAACATTTTTGTCAGCTTGTTCAATGCAAAAGGTTTTGTTCATCAAGCTCCTTCACGGTTGTTACGATCATAGGTTCTCTTTGCACTACCAATAAAAGGCACATTTTCTCTTCTTTTTTTGGGGGGGGAGGTTTCTGCACAATTGCAGAAAAGTCTTTCCTTTTGTTTTATTTGTTTCTTTCTTTTTCATCTACTTAATATCCTTCTGCTTATTCTTCTACTTATTCCTCTTCTTCTTCCTTTTCTTTTTGTTGTATCCGAAATCCCATAGACTTTGTACGCGTCTTTTCTGGACGCAACTTTTGCTTTTCATCTTTGTCATACATCATTCAAAGTTAGCATAGACATACTCCCTACTGCAAAGTTGTGTCTCGACAAGTAATGCCATGATGACGTCATCATTTGCCAAGTTATGTCATCACAGGTGCATTTTTCAATGTCATTTATATAGAGAACTACATGGCGTGCAGATTGGGTCGAAATTTTGTACGTACACATATTGGGATGTGTTATAAATGAAAATTAAGGTGAAATCATGATGATGTCATATGATTTTATATGGATTTTTTTACATTTTGAAGTTCATTGCCGTATCTCACGAACGCAACTTAGTAAATTCAAAAATCTTTCTGTGCTTGGTTTGTTAAGTCATAGATATTTGCACAAAAATGTGAAAAGTGTGTGACGCCATGATAACGTCATCAAAAATGCAATTTTTAAAGCACATAAGGGAAGGTCCTGTCATCATGAAACTTGGCGGGAAAGTAGAAAATATAAAATGCAAAATCCGAAATGACGTCACGATGACATTATTGGTTTATTTTTGTATGAATTTTTAAAGTTCTCATTTTGGATTCTACTCACAAAATTTGATACAGTCTTTCCTCAGATCGACACCAAACTTGACACAGAACTTAGATCACATTGTAAATATGTGCATTTACAAGTGCCATCACCATGACATCATCATGGGCCATTTGATGTCATCATAAATGTGCGTTTTCAAAGTCCTATATCTAGAGAACTAGTCTCATTGCATTGAAACTTTTTGTGTTTATAAATAGGGATTTGTTATAGATGAAACTTGAGGTGACGGGGTGACGTAATCATGTGATTTTGTATAGATTTCTGAAATAATTGAATATTGTTGCCATATCTCACTATTACACAGCATGCTACATGTTTATTAAACATTTGTTTTGTAATAGGTTTATTAGGTCATAGATAATTGCACATCATGACATCATAAAAATGCAATTTTGAAAACAAATAAGGGTAAGTCCTACGTCATGAATCTTGGTAGAAGGTACATGTAGATAATGTTACTAGTCATGCTAGTATGCAAAGTTTGAGATGACGTCAAGATGAAGTCATCAACTGTCCTTTAAACTTTGATATATTTTGATCTCTAGCAAAATTTTACATTAAAGACACTTGGTAAATGAAATTATCTTTTACATAACTGTACAGTGCCAAAAAAGCATACAGTCGTCAAAATACCAATAATGTGGAAAAGCCCTACATGTTCTGTTCTGAAACAGACATAGACCTATGCAAACCATACCTCAAACACTGATATCATATTGACCATCTCAAGTCACATCCACTCGGTGTAAAGAAAACTTCTTTTTCAGAGAAACCTCTAGAAAACTAGTACAATAATAAACATTAAATGACATCATTTTGGGGGGAGGGGGCAAATTTTTGTGAAGTTTTAACATTTAGAGTTTGCAAGTCTCGCCAGTTTACGTCCACTTCTTTTGCGAAGTCTTGGTTCCAAACACTGCTTAGTCTACTCACAGACTCCTGCGTTCGAATTTACCGAGCAGTTCACAAAAAAAATCTGCAACACAAATTTGTTATCCACTGTTAGCGGTTGAAAGTTAAGGCACTACTGTCAATTGTATTTGCCTTGAAAATGCCAGCCATGTATGTTAGCCTCATACAGTGTTGCTAGTCTTTTCTACCAGTAATTTCAAACAAATTCTTATTAGAACCACAATGTGTTTTGTATGGGTATTTCCAACAGCGACTGACAGTTAATAACGAATGCCAAATGAAAGAGGCTTCTTCTTTTCAGTTGAATGCACAAAGCAATCAAAGTGGAAGATTGTTATAGTTTGTTTCCCTGACAACGCTGCTTTAAGGGCGTTGTGCATGTATTTAGAGTTGGGAACACTGTTAGGAATATTGCATTTTTCGACAGTTGTTTCCCATTAATTAACAGCTAAAAATAGCTGATGACTTTTATGGTTGATCTTTGTTATTATAGAAGCTTTTCTGCAGACTGAGACAAAAAGGCCAATTTTCCCGGCACAGACATTGTACACTGTTTTCTGTACATTTTCATTTCCCTATTCTTTCATTTCTTGATGAAACTTGGTGTAGACAACGACCCTAGGCAAAAACACAGTATGTGTGTGTATGGTACCTCAAACATTGATGTCATATGGACCATATGTCACATACTTTCAGTGTAAAGAACATTTTTTAGTAGAGAACTGATTATCTGATGATACATGACTAGAATATATGTAAATGCTGAAAAACATTAATATATCTTTTGGGAAGGATATTTTGATTTTTTTTTCAACCCTATTCTTCACATAAATAATGTTGTGGCAGCATTGGCATTGTTGAAGATGTGCATTAAAAACTGATGTCATAACGATGTGATCCATTGCATGTGTAATTCTATATTACACAAAAGCTGATGTCATGATGATGTCATTTAATGTTAAAGACTTTGATTTAAAAAAAATAACTTTAAAAAAAATAGCCAAATATTTGCTTCCCAATAATAAGTTTCACAGTGAACTATTTACAGACAGTTATAAACACCTTCAGTACATTAATTATAGGTAGCATTACTGTATCAACATTAAACCAAAATAGTTATTTCTTCTGTAGGTGCAAAGTAAAAGTTGAGTGCTGATATTATTTTTTTTGTCATGTTGATCCTAACACACAACATTTTTTTAAACTGTTGCTTCACATCATGAACAAATCAAAGGGTGCACAACTACTTTTCGGGCAAACATTACTATTAATGTTTATATACCAGTCACAACATCCACTAATAAATATTTTGCACTTACAGACTGTATTGCGAGTGTTTGTAAATCCTTCCAAAATCTTAGCAGTTCCCAACAAGTCTCCAGCAAAGTAGTCATTCAGTCTCAGCTGTGAAGATGTAAACCACCACTGCGTTTTGTACATGTACTTGCATTGAAAATGACAGCCTCATCTACCTGTTCATAAGAGCATTCTGAAGGATATCTTTCATATCTGAGTTTGCTTCATGCAGCCAGTTTCTACAGATCCAGGCCGTAGCAGTTCTCCATTTCCACCACATCTTCGGTAGCTGCATTTTGAAGGGCAAGGTCATTCAGCTGGCACACCATCTTGCCCTGGCCTTGGTCCTTCAGATTGAAGGAGCTACATTTCGGATGTGAGAGGCAGGCTTTGCCACAAGACACCAGACCCTGAGCCTGTAACTCCATCAAGACATGATTATCAGTGAGGCACGGGGAGGTGATGCGACCACTGGAGCCGATCTGAAGGCAGAATAGAGGGTCGTAGTCGATGATAGCAAGCTCACATGTTGCATATCTGTGATTATTACAGTACTGATTCCACCATATGCCACCTGCCCTGTCACCAATCAATGCACAATCAGCTCCGCTGTACTGGTTGCTAGGATTTCCTTCCCCCCAGTTCTGGTACGCGTTGGTCTCACCACCTCTCAGAGGACAGTTCCAAACACCATCCTGGTTGATGTCATTGCAGCCGATCCAGGCTCCATTACCTAGACCATCAGGGTAAAACTCCCGTTGGAGTAGTTCCCATATAAATGTCTGTTCTTCCGATGAGTTGGGAACTGCAAGGCTTGCATGAGAAGCAGCACAGATTTGTTGTACTTTATACCAACTCTTTAGTTCTTTGATGACAAAGTAGCAAGCCTTTCCATATCGGTGCGAGCCCACTGGGCAAACAGTCGCAAAAGTGGCTTCAAATCCAGCCACGAGAAGCAGTACACTCAACACATGCATTCTGTTTCTGATAAGTGGAGATCTTCAGCTGAGCAAATATGTAATTTTTTTGATAATAGCCTTAGAGGTGCCTGTGTTTTGAGTGTAGATCTAGAGCTAGAGCCCCTGTGTGTTTTGCAGGGAAACTTCTAACAGCAACTGACACAAAATGAAAGAGGCTTTTCCTACTCAACTGCACACGCAAACAATCAAAGTCAGGAATAATCAAGCTATTTCTTTACCCTGACGATGCTGTTTTGTCAATTTTTCATTGATATCACGATATTGAATATTGCATTTAACTTTTATCTTAAAAGCTAATAAAGAAAACGAATTGAAAGAGGCTTGCTAAATGTATACTAGATGGAATACAGGAAGCAAGCAAAGTCGGGAATTGATGTTTTTTTGTTTCCACGACAACGTGGCTTTGTCAGTGGTCTACATGCCTATTGGTTTCAAAGCTCTATCTAATTAAACGCACGACTTTGAATACTGCATTTTGAGACAACCTCTTAATATCAAAGTAAATAAAAACACAAAATGAAAGACTAAATAGAATGGAAATGGAATACACGAAGCAAACAAGGTCAAGAATGGATGCTATTTTGTGTTCCTGACAACTCTGCTTTTTCAGTGGTCTTTTAATGGCAGTTTGCTTCAAATCCACTTTGTACACATGATGTATTTTGTATCAATATATTTCACATCTGTTTTTAACCCCCCTAACCCCCACCCCACCCCATCATAGATGGAATGATTTCACAGGGTATCGGTACCAGCCCTTTCTTCACTTTAGGCAACATTTTTTCACATTCAATCAGTTGGTTCATTTCTTGGTAACTACCAGATTTCCTATGTGCCTTTAAAAACAATTACGAGATTCTGAATATTCATGAGTTCAAGTTGGGATTTTCATACCCTGAATTTCTTAAACACAGTTTGGCAACCCGACCATGAGAATTCATTTCTGGGGAAGGAAGGGTCATTAGTTTCAGAAATGTAAATTTTATCAAAGTTCAATCACCTTGAGATTGGATTCATATTTTCACATCAATCACATTTATTTTGAATTCGCAATTCACTGTTTTTACAAGTCAACCAAAAATGTCACTTCAGTAACTTTTACTATAGCGAAAGTGAAACAAAGCAATATTCTTATGATACTGTTAAATAAGCAATCGTTTCAAAGAAACAACACAATCACTTTCTCCAGTTGTTTACTTTTAATTCTAAAATATCGTCCATAAGGTGTGAAAAATGTTATTTCATTTTGTATTTTTTTTGGTTTTTATGTCATCTTGAAAACATTAATCAAATATTGCCTACTTAACAACTATTCACATTAATTATTTTTTAACCAGAGGCATCACAAGCAGTACATTGTTTTGAGTGGAGAAAACAAATTGCCTTTTCCCATAGTTTTTGCCATCCCTTGACAAATTTGGCTCTTCATACATGCCCAAAACAGCTGGTTTTTTTTTTTATTGTAGATTGTTATTTTCTTTCGTTCATGAGAGTTGTCTACAGACAAATTGCAGCATATTTTATACAGTTTAATTCACTTTTTGTGCATTTTGTTTTCATTTAAAGCCTTAAAATCTCTAGCAGGCTGCAAAATAAATAACAGGTTGAAGCTTCAGCTCAGTAACATCTTTACATTGTGTTGAAAACAGAGACAATGCATGCACAGTCGTTGGATGTCGTACGTTTGCAACGGGCACCCTTTTTGAAACCACCTTCAATGTTAGTTTTCCTCCAAACAGTGGCGTAGCCAGGAATTTTTCAGTGGGGGAGCGCTGGGGGGCTGGAACATTTCATGGGGGGGCGCCATGCAGGGGCGTCAATCGCTTCTCAAAAGTGGGGGGCGGACATACCTTGATCAGAACTGATGCGAGCGCGAAGCCCTTACGGCGTGGGGTTCGGGGCCCGCTTAAGGGCCCCGAAAAAAAATTGATTCTAGATGTTCTGTGGTGTGATCTGAAGCAATTTCTTACCACTTTCCTCCATGCTTTAACTAATATTTTCTTAGCAAAAGATAATTATTTGAACTCCGTTTTCGAGGTTGGAGACATTGAATCAGCTATCGGTATTCTGAGCTATAGGCGTGGGGTTCGGGGCCCGCTTAAGGGCCCCAAAAAATTTTGGATTCTAAATGCTCTGTGGTGCTATCTGAGGCAATTTCTGACCACTTTAACCAATATTTTCTAAGCAAAAGATACATTGTAGTACATAATAGAGCCCTGTAAATGAGACACGAGTTCAAAAATAGGGGGGGGGGGACATTTGTTATTGTGTTCCCCACCCTTCAAAAAGTGGGGGGGGGGGGACATGTCCCCTGTCCCCCCAAGGATTGACGCCCATGGTGTCATGTAGATCAATGATAATTGTTTTAGAAACTCAAAATCTCAGTGGGGGGCGACAAGGTTTCATGGGGGGGGGGCGGTCGCCCCCCCCCCCCCCCACGCCCCCCCGGTGGCTACGCCACTGCCTCCAAACGATACCATTTGCAGCAAAATAGTTTCACAGGGTATTTGATACCAGTTCAATCTTGAGCAAGATTTCTGTCAATGAATCGGTAGGTATAATGGAGATGTTTTTTAGTGCAAAGTTAACAAATTTAAGAATCAACTCTTTAAATCAAATGCAGTATTTAAGACAAAATATAACATCACAGACATACATCTGCTATAACAAAGTCAGTCGTGCAATTTATATCTGTTGTCAATAAAAATGTCAAAAATGTTGTCCATGTTTAACCTGCTGTTTGAACAGTCACAGACAGTTAAAAATTGTATCCACTTCCCCTGCCAGGCCTTTTACACATGTAGAAACCAACAGTCGGATCTTATTTCAAGTAAGCACTCTGACTGGTCAATTTCAGTCAACAGACAAAAGCAGATTACTGGTAGGCACAGCATTCGTATCAATCACCTACAGTCAAATCTTAGCTGTATCAAGTTACATAAACAGCCACAGCCAGCACCGCTTTATGTAGACAGGGTGCACATTAAACAGTCACTGGACTGATTTTTACTGTAAGGACAACTTTGCACAGATTGTATGTTTGCATAGGAAGGTTAATTAATATCCTGATTGGTTTAGATTTGTCCTGAGTATACACCAAATTATCAAACATTTTCTTTCTAGTAGGTACATGGGGAAGAAAGTTCCAAACACCATCCTGGTTGATGTCATTGCAGCCGATCCAGGCTCCATTACCTAGACCATCAGGGTAAAACTCCCGTTGGAGTAGTTCCCATATAAATGTCTGTTCTTCCGATGAGTTGGGAACTGCAAGGCTTGCATGAGAAGCAGCACAGATTTGTTGTACTTTATACCAACTCTTTAGTTCTTTGATGACAAAGTAGCAAGCCTTTCCATATCGGTGCGAGCCCACTGGGCAAACAGTCGCAAAAGTGGCTTCAAATCCAGCCACGAGAAGCAGTACACTCAACACATGCATTCTGTTTCTGATAAGTGGAGATCTTCAGCTGAGCAAATATGTAATTTTTTTGATAATAGCCTTAGAGGTGCCTGTGTTTTGAGTGTAGATCTAGAGCTAGAGCCCCTGTGTGTTTTGCAGGGAAACTTCTAACAGCAACTGACACAAAATGAAAGAGGCTTTTCCTACTCAACTGCACACGCAAACAATCAAAGTCAGGAATAATCAAGCTATTTCTTTACCCTGACGATGCTGTTTTGTCAATTTTTCATTGATATCACGATATTGAATATTGCATTTAACTTTTATCTTAAAAGCTAATAAAGAAAACGAATTGAAAGAGGCTTGCTAAATGTATACTAGATGGAATACAGGAAGCAAGCAAAGTCGGGAATTGATGTTTTTTTGTTTCCACGACAACGTGGCTTTGTCAGTGGTCTACATGCCTATTGGTTTCAAAGCTCTATCTAATTAAACGCACGACTTTGAATACTGCATTTTGAGACAACCTCTTAATATCAAAGTAAATAAAAACACAAAATGAAAGACTAAATAGAATGGAAATGGAATACACGAAGCAAACAAGGTCAAGAATGGATGCTATTTTGTGTTCCTGACAACTCTGCTTTTTCAGTGGTCTTTTAATGGCAGTTTGCTTCAAATCCACTTTGTACACATGATGTATTTTGTATCAATATATTTCACATCTGTTTTTAACCCCCCTAACCCCCACCCCACCCCATCATAGATGGAATGATTTCACAGGGTATCGGTACCAGCCCTTTCTTCACTTTAGGCAACATTTTTTCACATTCAATCAGTTGGTTCATTTCTTGGTAACTACCAGATTTCCTATGTGCCTTTAAAAACAATTACGAGATTCTGAATATTCATGAGTTCAAGTTGGGATTTTCATACCCTGAATTTCTTAAACACAGTTTGGCAACCCGACCATGAGAATTCATTTCTGGGGAAGGAAGGGTCATTAGTTTCAGAAATGTAAATTTTATCAAAGTTCAATCACCTTGAGATTGGATTCATATTTTCACATCAATCACATTTATTTTGAATTCGCAATTCACTGTTTTTACAAGTCAACCAAAAATGTCACTTCAGTAACTTTTACTATAGCGAAAGTGAAACAAAGCAATATTCTTATGATACTGTTAAATAAGCAATCGTTTCAAAGAAACAACACAATCACTTTCTCCAGTTGTTTACTTTTAATTCTAAAATATCGTCCATAAGGTGTGAAAAATGTTATTTCATTTTGTATTTTTTTTGGTTTTTATGTCATCTTGAAAACATTAATCAAATATTGCCTACTTAACAACTATTCACATTAATTATTTTTTAACCAGAGGCATCACAAGCAGTACATTGTTTTGAGTGGAGAAAACAAATTGCCTTTTCCCATAGTTTTTGCCATCCCTTGACAAATTTGGCTCTTCATACATGCCCAAAACAGCTGGTTTTTTTTTTTATTGTAGATTGTTATTTTCTTTCGTTCATGAGAGTTGTCTACAGACAAATTGCAGCATATTTTATACAGTTTAATTCACTTTTTGTGCATTTTGTT